CCAGAGATGGTATTTGCCGGTTCTCTGAATTGCTCAAAATTTCTGCTACCGGTTCGTCAGAACCTGCTGGATTTCACCCCTGGTTTTAACCTCCAGTCCCCTAATCCTCTTTGTTCTTCTCTACACTCTTTCTTGACATCTCCACATCTTTTTTACATCATGGCAGCCAAAACTGGACGCAGGATTCAAAGGAGCCACCATGATAGTTAAGCAAAGCAATGGTTTGCTATGGGTAAGTGCTGAAAAGATAAGTACATGGTTTCATTTACTCAGCAGCGTGAAGATCTGATTGTCCCCTAGGAGTGAATTGCCTAGAGACGTAGATTTTGCAGAGACAAATATAATAAAAATATGGGACTCATTGATATTTTACACAGTGGGTTAAAAAAAGAGAGTTGTACAATGTGTTAGAAATACATACTTGAATATTATTTGCATTAGACCGGCACTTATAGAATTGTAAGCTTTTACTGTATTTTCACAGGTAGTTCTCGATTTATAATCCTCAATTTAAAACAATTTGTTTAACGACCATCCTAAGTTACCACGGCACTGAAAAAAAGGACGTATGACCGTTTTTCACACTTAACGACCGTTTCAGCATTTCCCCAGCGTCAATGATGAGAATTCGGATGTTTGCCAACTGGCTTGCATTTACGACGGTTGTCGTACGATTCCCCTTTTGCGGCCTTCGGACAGGCAAAGACAACGGGGAAGCCAGATTCACTTAATAACCGTGTTACTAACTTCACAACGGCGGTGATTTATTTAACGACTGTGGCAAGGAAGGTGGTAAAATGGGGCAAAACTCACTTAACAACTGTCTCGCTTAGCAACAGAAATGTTGGGCTCAATTCTGGTCGTAAGTCGAGGAGTATCTCTACTACCTCTTCCCTTGGGGTCTACAGTTTCCACCCACCTACCTCTTACATCCCCCACTTTCTATCTTTTTTAGCGATCAGGTCACAACAATTTAAATTATATTTAAATTCTTACCACTGCTTAAAGAAAGTACTACATCCATGGCTGACTGGGGAATTCTGGGAATTGAAGTCCATACAAAGTCCGCAAAGGTTGAGAAAGGACTCTCATGCGCCCTCTGGTGGGCGGTAAGCCTAAACTGCCTGCAGAATTTTCACTGTTCCTTTCCAATTGGTTTCTCCAAGGTTGGGATGCAAATCCACCCTGGGATCAAATTAGAAGCCCTAAAATTGATTTAGATGAGTGTCTCTCATCCTCTAAAGAATCAAGACGTGTGCTCTTCGGTTCCCAGAATTCCCCAGCCAGACACCAAATGGAAAACGGGATTCTGTAAATATCCAGATCCTGATGCATAAAATCCTTTAAAGTGGGCAACCAGCATCTTCAGTTGCACCCAGAAAAAAATACTTAGCCACCAATGCAGCTGTCAAAGCAGATATATTGCATGGAGCAAAGATGATGAGGGGACTGGAGGTTAAAACATATGAAGAACGGTTGCAGGAACTGGGTATGTCTAGTTTAATGAAAAGAAAGACTAGGGGAGACATGATAGCAGTCTTCCAATATTTGAGGGGCTGCCCCAGAGAGGAGGGGGGTCAAGCTATTTTCCAAGGCACCCAAAGGCCAGAAGAAGGAATAATGGATGGAAACTGAACAAGGAGAGATTCAACCTGGAAATAAGGAGAAATTTTCTGACAGTGAGAACAATTAATCAGTGGAACAACTTGCCTTCAGAAGTTGTGGGGGCACCATCACTGGAAGTTTTAAAGAAAAGATTGGGCCACCATTTGTCTGAAATGGTATAGGGTTTCCTGCCTGAGCAGGGGGTTTGACTAGAAGGAGATGGAAGGGACTCCAAGGTCCCTTCCATCTTATCTCATCTCATCTCATCTCATCTCATCTCATCTCATCTCTTCTCTTCTCTTCTTTATTTTCTTTCTTTATTTATTAGATCGATTTATATATGCCGCCCTTCTCCGGAGACTCAGGGGGGCTTACAATGCGTTAAGCAATAGCCTTCATACTTTTGTATATACCTGCTTAGTAGGGCTTTTGGCCCCCCCTAAGCGGTGTTCTTTTTTTATACAAAGTCAGCTTATTGCCCCCACAAACCGGGTCCTCATTTTACCTACCTCAGAAGGATGGAAGGCTGAGTCAACCTTGAGTCTGGTGAGATTTGAACTTGCAGTAATTGCAGGCAGCTGGCAGCTAAATACTACTTTAACAGTAGTTTAGTCCACTGCACCACCAGGCTCCTCTTCTCTTCTTCTCTTCTCTTCTCTTCTCTTCTCTTCTCTTCTCTTCTCTTCTCTTCTCTTCTCTTCTCTTCTCTTCTCTCCTCTTCTCCCCTCCCCTCCTCTTCTCTCTTCTCTTCATCTCTTCTTCTCTTCTCTTCTCCTCTCCTCCCCTCTCCTCTTTTCTCTCCTCTCCTCTCCTCCCCTCCTCCCCTCCCTCCTCTCCTCTTTTCTCTCCTCTCCTCTCCTCTCCTCCCCTCCTCTCCTGTCCTCTCCTCTCCTGTCCTCTCCTCTCCTCTCCTCTCCTCTCTTCTCTTCATCTCTTCTTCTCTTCTCTTCTCTTCTCCTCTCCTCTCCTCCCCTACCCTCCTCTCCTCTTTTCTCTCCTCTCCTCTCCTCCCCTCTCCTCCTCTTTTCTCTCCTCCCCTCCTCTCCTCCCCTCCCCTCCCCTCCTCTCCTCTTTTCTCTCCTCTCCTCTCAGTTTGCCAACCATCTGAATTTTGATCATGTGTCCACGGGGATACTGCAACGGTCATGAGTGTGAAAAATGGTCATAAGTCACTTTTTTCAGGGTCATGGTAACTTTGAACCGTCAGCAAACGACTGTTATAACTCAAGGACCACCTGTAAAAGTAAAACAAATCCTTCCCTCCTAAGTCTAGCTGGTTGCCTCTTCAGCCTTTGAACTCCTGGGTGTCCTTTTTCAGATAGCGGTAACTGCACAGTGTTGCTGGAAACTCTCGTGCCAAAAATACTGTTATAGCTGTGCAGGTTATCGCATCTCCGTCTGCAAACTTTCCAGCAGCGGAACTGTCGTTTGGCACCCATGTTTCACTCAGTGGTATTTGAACCTCACACTCTCTTCCCCTTTTATCCCCCAAATCGTTGCTCAGCTTTTCATCTGGCTGCACCCCCCCTGCCTTCCCCCGCCAACCCCCCCCTGGACTTTCCATCAGTCTGTAATTTAATATTTATTTGAGAAAACAGCAACAGCACTTCAGACTTATATACCGCTTCACGGTGCTTTCCAGCTCTCTCCAAGCGGTTTACAGAGTCAACCTCTTGCCCACAACAATGTGGGTCCTCATTTGACCCACCTCGGAAAGATGGAAGGCTGAGTCAACCTGGAGGCAGTGAAGATCGAACTGCTGTCAGTGAGCTGAATTAGCCTGCAATATTGCACTGTAATAGGTAGATTAGGATAGATAGATTATATATTGATAGTGATAGATAGATAGATAGATAGATAGATAGATAGATAGATAGATAGATAGATAATAGAGAGAGAGATAGGGATGAATGGATGGATGGATGGATGGATGGATGGAGATAAATAGATAGATAGATAGATGATAGAGAGAGATAGGGATGGATGGAGATAGATGATAGATAGATAGATGATAGAGAGAGATAGATATGGATGGAGATAGATGATAGATAGATAGATGATAGAGAGAGAGATAGGGATGGATGGATGGATGGATGGATGGATGGAGATAGATAGATAGATAGATAGATAGATAAATAGATAATAGATAGATAATAGAGAGAGAGGGATGGATGGATGGATGGATGGAGATAGATAGATAGATGAGATACGGATGGATGGATGGAGATAGATAGATAGATAGAGAGATGATAGAGAGAGAGATAGGGATGGAGATAGATGATAGATAGGTAGGTAGTTAGGTAGATAGATATGGATGGATGGATGGAGATAGATGATAGATAGATAGATAGATAGATAGATAGATAGATAGATAGATAGATGATAGATAAATAGATTAGATAGATATGGATGGATGGAGATAGATGGTAAGTAGATAGGCAGATAGATAGATGATAGGTAGATAGATGATAGATAGATTAGATAGATAGATATGGATGTAGATGATAGGTAGGTAGGTAGATAGATAGATAGATGATAGATAGATAGATGATAGATAGATAGATAGATAGATAGATAGATAGATAGATAGATGATAGATAAATAGATTAGATAGATATGGATGGATGGAGATAGATGGTAAGTAGGTAGGCAGATAGATAGATGATAGGTAGATAGATGATAGATAGATTAGATAGATAGATATGGATGTAGATGATAGGTAGGTAGGTAGATAGATAGATAGATGATAGATAGATAGATGATAGATAGATAGATAGATAGATAGATAGATAGATAGATGATAGATAAATAGATTAGATAGATATGGATGGATGGAGATAGATGGTAAGTAGGTAGGCAGATAGATAGATGATAGGTAGATAGATGATAGATAGATTAGATAGATATGGATGTAGATGATAGGTAGGTAGGTAGACAGATAGATAGATGATAGATAGATAGATGATAGATAGATAGATAGATAGATAGATAGATAGATAGATAGATTAGTTAGATAGATAGATATGGATGGATGGAGATAGATGATAGGTAGGTAGGAAGGTAGGTAGGTAGGTAGGTAGGTAGGTAGATAGATAGATAGATAGATAGATAGATAGATAGATAGATAGATATGGAGATAGACAGACAGACAGAGTCAGCAATAGCAATAACACTTAGACTTATATACCGCTTCACAGTCTTTCCAGCCCTCTCTAAGCAGTTTACAGAGTCATCATATTGCCCCCAATAACCTGGGTCCTCATTTTACCGACCATGGAAGGATGGGAAGTCAACCTTAAGACGGTCAGGATTGAACTGCTGGCTGTGGGCAGAGTTTGGCTTCGATGCCGCATTCTAACCCACTGCGACACCACAACAAACGCACACAACGGCGGTTAGTGCAGATTCCTTTATAGATCAGAGGTGACGAAGAAAACGACATTACTTTGAAGCGGACAAAGCAAAAGAGTTTGGAGCTGAGCTCGCACCTTCTAAAGCTTTGCTGGCTGGGGAATTCTGGGAGTTGAAGTCCGCCAGGCTTAAAGTTGCCAAGGTTGGAGACCCCTGTTCTAAAGGACTACACTCCCCATCCTCCCCATCCACCAAATACAAAGAGGGCTAATCTGAGATGGGGCGAGTGGCTGCCCAAATCACAGAGGCTACCAAAAGGAGGGCAAATATACATATTGGCCACTTATCCGAAGCGCACAACCGTTCTCAGGTCTGGTCACGTATGGTTAATGGCCTCTTCGTGGCACGTCCAGCCCTTGGGAGTTGAATTTTTTATTGACCGTAAACTTATAAGTTTATGTATTAAGATAAAACACAGATAGTCCTCGATCTACGACCACAATTGGGGGGTCACAATTTCCGTTGTTAAGCAAGTCAGTCGGTACGTGAGTTGCAGGTAGTCCTCGATTTACAACGGTTCGTTTAGTGACCGTTTGAAGCAGAGGTGGGTTTCAGCAGGTTCTGACCAGTTCTGGAGAACCGGTAGCGGAAATTTTGAGTAGTTCGGAGAACCGGTAGTAAAAAATTCTGACTGGCCCCGCCCCCATCTATCCTCTGCCTCCCAAGTCCCAGCTGATCGGGAGGAAATGGGGATTTTGCAATAACCTTCCCCTGGAGTGGGGAGGGAATGGGGATTTTACAGTATCCTTCCCCTGGAGTGGGGAGGGAATGGGGATTTTACAGTATCCTTCCCCTGGAGTGGGGAGGGAATGGAGATTTTACAGTATCTTTCCCGTGCCATGCCCACAAAGCCATGCCACGCCCACTAAGCCACACCCACAGAACCGGTACTAAAAAATTTTGAAATAGCATTGAAAAAAGTGACTTTGGACCATTTTTCACACTTACGACCGTTGTAGCATTGTCACGGTTACGTGAGGATGCTTGGCAACTGACTCATATTTATGACGGTTGCAGTGTCCCAGCGTCATTGATCCCCTTTTGCAACCTTCTGACAAGCAGAAGTCAATGGATTCATTTAACGACCATGTTACTCACTTAACGACTGCAGTGATTCACTTAACAACTGTGGCAAGGAAGATAAAAAACGTAAAAACGGGGCAAAACCCACTTGACAAATATCTCCCTTAGCAATGTTAACTTTGGGCCAATTGTGGTCGTAAGTCGAGGACTACCTGTATTCTGATTGATTGGTTGGTTGTAAGTTGAGGGCTGTCTGTACGTCCCTTTACGGTTTGCAACCCAGGCCCTTGGACTGTGAAAAGGTCACACAAAGAGTCAGCTTTCCAGTTGTGATGTTCTGCCTTGGCCTTGTTGGCTGTAAATGGCCACTTGGTCGATGCTTTCATACAAATTTTCAGGCGCCATTTTCTTTTTCGGGGCCTTTGCTTTCTTCTTCACCTTATCCCAGTAAGTGTCCACAGACTCATAAGCCGGCTCGGCCACTGGCTGACTTGCAACCTTGGTCCGGGGTTCACACGGCACGGTATCATAGTAAGGCTCTGTGGCGGTGGGGAGCGATGAGGACTGGTAACTTGCAATGCCATTGGATTCCTGACTGACCATCATCTCCTTTGCTTGGGGGGCTGCCTCTTCAGAGCGCTGTGCCTTCTTCTTCTTTTTCTCTTTGCACACCACCGAGTACATTTCTTCTATCTGTAAAAGAAAGAGCTGTTAGGGGCCGTAGCAGTCGTATAGGTAGTCCTCGTTTAGCGACCACAGTTGGGAATGTCAATTCCATCATTAAGTGAAACTCCGCTATCTTATCATCTTACTTCAACCGTTTTGTTCTGCTTTACAGACCTGAAAAAGATCTTCACACTGAGGTGTTATCTCAACAATGCTTTAGAACAGGGGTCTCCAAATTTGGCAACTGTAAGATTTGTGGACTTCAACTACCAGAATTCTGGGAACTGCAAGTTCAACTTCCCGAATTCTTCAGCCAGTCAGCTGTTCTGGCTGAGGAATTCTGGGAATTGAAGTCAGCAAGTTCAACTTCCCGAATTCCTCAGCCAGTCAGCTGTTCTGGCTGGAGAATTCTGAGAATTGAAGTCCAGAAGTTCAATTTCTAGAATTCCTCAGTCCAGAAGTTCAACTTCCCGAATTCCTCAGCCAGTCAGCTGTTCTGGCTGAGGAATTCTGGGAACTGAAGTCCAGAAGTTCAATTTCCAGAATTCCTCAGCCAGTCAGCTTTTCTGGCTGGGGAATTCTGGGAATTGAAGTCCAGAAGTTCAATTTCTAGAATTCCTCAGTCCAGAAGTTCAACTTCCCGAATTCCTCAGCCAGTCAGCTGTTCTGGCTGAGGAATTCTGGGAACTGAAGTCCAGAAGTTCAATTTCCAGAATTCCTCAGCCAGTCAGCTTTTCTGGCTGGGGAATTCTGGGAATTGAAGTCCAGAAGTTCAATTTCTAGAATTCCTCAGTCCAGAAGTTCAACTTCCCGAATTCCTCAGCCAGTCAGCTGTTCTGGCTGGAGAATTCTGGGAACTGAAGTCCAGAAGTTCAATTTCCAGAATTTCTCAACCAGTCAGCTTTTCTGGCTGGGGAATTCTGGGAATTGAAGTCCAGAAGTTCAATTTCTAGAATTCCTCAGTCCAGAAGTTCAACTTCCTGAATTCCTCAGCCACTCAGCTGGTCTGGCTGGGGAATTCTGGGAATTGAAGTCCAGAAGTTCAATTTCTAGAATTCCTCAGTCCAGAAGTTCAACTTCCCGAATTCCTCAGCCAGTCAGCTGTTCTGGCTGGGGAATTCTGGGAATTGAAATCCAGAAGTTCAACTTCCCGAATTCCTCAGCCAGTCAGCTTTTCTGGCTGGGGAATTCTGGGAATTGAAGTCCCCAGGTTTAACTTTCAGAATTCCTCAGCCAGACAGCCATTCTGGCTGGGGAATTCTGGGAATGGTAGTTCACAAATCTTAAAGTTGTCAACTTTAGAGACCCCTGCCCTAGAAAATCAAGCACAAGGGATCTGTAATCCTTCAATTCATCTCCAGCCATAGGAAGAAACAGGCAAATAGTTAACAAACTAAGATGAAGGAGAATACATAGGGGTCTTGCAATACTTGAGGGGCTGCCACAAAGAAAAGTGGGTCAAACTATTTTCCAAAGCATCTGAAGGCACGACAAGAAACTGTTAGGATATGGTTTGAGCCTAACAAGCTGTCCAGGCAACATATGTATTCTGTGACTTTAATATGAATATGTATTGTGTGACTTTAAAGTTTTACTGCTGATTCATTGTAATGCTGAGTCATGCTTTAATTAGATAATCACTAGTTGTAAACGTATTAAGAAAGATACTGTAACGTATTCAGTTGATGATATGCTACCATTGTGTGAGGAGTTGCTACCATTGTGCTATCATCGTTGGATGGATCTGCTACCATCGTGGTTTGTGAACCAGAGTGAGTTTGTCATTCTAACCAACTACTGTTTGTGTGGTAAGAAGAGTTTTTGTATCACTGGACTGACTTAACTGGCAAAGACTTGGATTGATTTAAAGACTACGAGATTGTTTTTTTCACTATAAAGTAAACTTTTGATAAACCAGTTTGCACATCTCTTATTCATCGCTCTCAACGACGTTTCTCTGTGCTCTACACTCTGCTGGTTGGTAACACAACAACAATATCCTTAACAGAAACAACGGATAGAAACTCATCAAGGAGAGAAGCAACCTAGAACTAAGGAGAAATTAACAGTTAATCAGTGGAACAGTTTGCCTCCAGAAGTTGTGGGTGCTGCAACACTGGAAGTTTTTAAGAAGAGATTGGACAGGCACTTGACTGGAATGATATAAGTTCTCCTGTTTGAGCAAGGGGTTGGACTAGAAGACCTCCAAGTTCCCTTTCAACTCTGATATTCTGTTCTATTTATCGGGGTGAAGCCTTGATGAAACTTTAGGATGCTCTCCAGAATTCAAAACAGGTAAATCAGCTAAGCTTGACATCTATGGTAAGGAGTCAGGCGTTATTTCAAAGTGTCTCAACCTTGGCAACTTTAAGTTAGGTTCAACACTCAAAATTCCCCAGCCAGCATGCCCTCAACTTATGACCAAAGTTGCTAGCAGAACCAAGGCCGAGGACTGCCTGTACATTTAATAAATCAATCAATAAATTTTCCATAGTCGCTAAAAGAATGGTCGTAAGTGAAGGACTACTTATACCAGGGGTCAGCAACCTGCGGCTCTGGAGCCACATGTGGCTCTTTGGGCCCTCTGCTGTGGCTCCCTGTCAGGTGATTCCACCACTGGCTGGCCCCACCCCTCGCCCTCCCCTCCCAGTCACTCCTCGCCTGGCCTGAGAAGGTAAGGGTGACGGCGGGGGATAGAGAAGTGGCCAGGGCAGAGGGAGAGAGATACAGAGAGAGAGGGAGAGAGAGAGAGACATAGAGAGATACAGAGAGGGATGGAGGGAGAGAGACATAGAGAGATACAGAGAGAGAGAGGGAGGGAGAGAGACAGAGAGAGATACAGAGAGAGAGGGAGAGAGAGAGACAGAGAGATACAGAGAGAGAGGGAGAGAGACATAGAGAGATACAGAGAGAGAGGGAGAGAGAGAGACATAGAGAGATACAGAGAGAGGGAGAGAGAGAGACAGAGAGATACAGAGAGAGGGGGAGAGAGAGAGACAGAGAGAGATACAGAGAGCGTGGGAGAGAGAGAGGGAGAGACAGAGACAGAGAGATAAGAGAGAGAGGGAGGGAGAGAGACAGAGAGCGATACAGAGAGAGGGAGAGAGAGACATAGAGAGATACAGAGAGAGATACAGAGAGAGGGGAAGGGAGAGACATAGAGAGATACAGAGAGAGAGGGAGAGAGAGACAGAGAGAGATACAGAGAGGGGGAGAGAGGGAGGGAGAGAGGGAGGGAGAGAGAGATACAGAGAGATACAGAGAGAGAGGGAGAGAGAGAGACAGAGAGATACAGAGAGAGAGGGAGAGAGACAGAGAGATATATAGAGAGAGGGAGGGAGAGAGACAGAGAGAGATACAGAGAGAGAGGGAGAGAGAGAGACATAGAGAGATACAGAGAGAGAGGGAGAGAGAGAGAGATAGAGATACAGAGAGAGAGGGAGAGAGAGAGACAGAGATACAGAGAGAGAGGGAGGGAGAGAGACAGAGAGATACAGAGAGGGATGGAGGGAGAGAGACATAGAGAGATACAGAAAGAGGGAGGGAGAGAGACATAGAGAGATAAGAGAGAGAGGGAGGGAGAGAGACAGAGAGAGATACAGAGAGAGGGAGAGAGAGACATAGAGAGATACAGAGAGAGATACAGAGAGAGGGGGAGAGAGAGAGACATAGAGAGATACAGAGAGAGAGGGAGGGAGAGAGACAGAGAGAGATACAGAGAGAGAGGGAGGGAGAGAGACAGAGAGAGATACAGAGAGAGAGGGAGAGAGAAACAGAGAGATACAGAGAGAGATACAGAGAGAGGGGAAGGGAGAGACATAGAGAGATACAGAGAGAGGGAGAGAGAGAGACATAGAGAGATACAGAGAGGGGGAGAGAGAGAGGGAGAGAGGGAGACAGAGAGAGATACAGAGAGAGGGGGAGAGAGAGAGACAGAGAGATACAGAGAGAGAGGGAGAGAGAGAGAGACAGAGATACAGAGAGAGAGGGAGAGAGACAGAGAGATATATATAGAGAGGGAGGGAGAGAGACAGAGAGAGATACAGAGAGAGAGGGAGAGAGAGAGACATAGAGAGATACAGAGAGAGAGGGAGAGAGAGAGAGAGATAGAGATACAGAGAGAGAGGGAGAGAGAGAGAGAGATACAGAGAGAGGGGGAGAGAGAGACATAGAGAGATACAGAGAGAGGGGGAGAGAGAGACAGAGAGAGATACAGAGAGAGGGGGAGAGAGAGAGACAGAGAGAGATACAGAGAGAAAGGGAGGGAAAGAGACAGAGAGATACAGAGAGAGAGGGAGGAAGAGAGACAGAGAGACGGAGAGAGAGAGACAGAGAGAGAGACAGAGAGAGATACAGAGAGAGGGGGAGAGAGAGGGAGACAGAGAGACATAGAGAGATAAGAGAGAGAGGGAGGGAGAGAGACAGAGAGACGGAGAGAGAGAGACAGAGAGAGAGACAGAGAGAGATACAGAGAGAGGGGGAGAGAGAGGGAGACAGAGAGACATAGAGAGATAAGAGAGAGAGGGAGGGAGAGAGACAGAGAGAGATACAGAGAGAGAGGGAGGGAGAGAGACAGAGAGATACAGAGAGAGAGGGAGAGAGAGAGACATAGAGAGATACAGAGAGAGAGGGAGAGAGACATAGAGAGATACAGAGAGAGAGGGAGGGAGAGAGACAGAGAGAGATACAGAGAGAGGGAGAGAGAGAGACATAGAGAGATACAGAGAGAGAGGGAGAGAAACATAGAGAGATACAGAGAGAGAGGGAGGGAGAGAGACAGAGAGAGATACAGAGAGAGGGAGAGAGAGAGACATAGAGAGATGCAGAGAGAGAGGGAGAGAGAGAGACATAGAGAGATACAGAGAGAGGGGGAGAGAGAGACAGAGAGAGATACAGAGAGAGAGGGAGAGCGGGGGAGAGAGGGAGGGAGGGGAGAGAGAGATATGTCAAAAGGATTTTGTGGTTCCTGGTGTTTTTTAACAACTGATTCTCTGCCCTAATGACCGGCTGGGTAGGCATGGCTAGGAGGTCATGTGACTGGTGGAAGTGAGTGACATCGAGTTGGCCACGCCCACCCAGTTTTTGTGGCTCCTGGTGTTTTCTTTTCTGTGGGAAACAGGTCCAAATGGCTCTTTGAGTATTTAAGGTTGCAGACCCCTGACCTATACTCAGAGAGTGTTTTAGGAGAGGGAGATCTAACAATGGAAATCACCATTCTTGAACAGAACAAGAATGTTTCTCTTGAAGGCCACTTAAAAACTTCTCCTACCTCTTTTGTTGGTGGAGATAACGCCGTGCTGGTGGGAAGAGACATCTCTTGAGGTTTATCCATCTCCACCCAGGTTTGTTTGCCATCTGTTGTCTTCTTCTTCTTCTTCACAACACACGCATAGCTGGGTCCACCTGCCTCGGCCTGGTGGCCTGGGATGTTCTCCACTATCTTATCTTCCGCAGGATGAACGTTCTGGCTTTCTTCTCCCTCCACTCTCTGGGATTCGCACAGCGTCACCACCTCAGCTCGTTTTGGGAAGCTGAGGTTGGAGTAGGTCATGTCTGGAGAAGACGGGACGTTGGGCAGGTCCCTCTGAAGGAGGATGAGGGCGCTGCAGCTACCCACCGTGTTGTCGTCTTTGTTCGGCGGGCGAGGAAGAGTCAGCGGGGCTGGCGTGTTGTCTGCAGAGGGAAACACTCCGGTTATCAGGGTTCCGAGTAACATATCCACAGCAAGCAAAACTCCCAAGGCGGGTAGATTCCTCAAAGAATAGTTTTATTGGATATATCATATCGGTACAGTTCCGGTGAAAGGTTCCCCTGGTTTTCACCTAATTAAAAGTAAAAGTTCCCCCCCCACCTTCCCCAAACAATCAGTCACATGGTCCAATCAAATCTGGTTGCCTGGTAACGTCGCTCCTCCTCTCTCTGACCAGGTGTGAGAATGACCTTGGTTCCCAGGAGAAAGTCTTTTGTTTTGGCTACAAAACCCCAGCTATCTCTATTTCCTCCTCCCCATCCCTCAGCTCCAGTGTGGCAACACTGAAGCTTCAAAATGGCTTCCGTCAGATCAGTTTCAGGGTTGACACCGGAGGTTTTAGGACAGGCGTCTCCAGACACGACAGCTTTAGAAGACTTGTGGACTTTTTGTCAGAAGAATTAATTACCGTATTTTCCGGCGTATAAGACGACTTTTTAACACATGAAAATCTTCTCAAAAGTTGGGGGTCATCTTATACGCCGGGTGTCGTTCTCTTGTAACCAGGCAGACCAGCCCGAAAGGCTCTGACGAGCCTTAAATGGCTCTGGCGGTCTGCTAATCAGGCAACTCAGATGAGATCGCCAGAGCCATGGAGAAGAAAAAAAGTTTTCCCCCTCCAGCTTGCTTGCCTTGCTTCGCTTGCCTGAATCCATTCCATCAGCAAGCAACTCCCTGCCTGCAATTAAGCAAAACAAAGCTGGCTGAGGAATTCTGGGAGTTGAAGTCCACAAGTCTTAAAGTTGCCAAGGTTGGAGACCCCTGTTCTATTGGGTAAGTTTTTTTCCCCTTTGGGAGCTTTAAAAAAAAATAGTTAATTGGAGGTTTTTTTAGTTGTTCTTTTTTAGACCTAGCCATTTAAAGTTTAGGAAGTTTTAAATTTAGCTTTCATATAAAAATAAAAATAAAATAAAATAATATTTGTGCAGCTTTCTGAGATTTAGTGTGTTTCTGTAATGTTTCACTCTAACTACACAAACACACAAAATCTCATAAAACTGTATGTGGAATTTTGTGCGTGTAAAGTGTGAAAGTTGTTTTTTGGGGCTTTTTGTGGCTGTGTGAGGTTCCTGCTTGTTGCAGGGGCCATTTTGGGTCCAGCACAGCTGCTTTTACTTTGTGGGTGAGCCAGTTGTGTTGTGTTGTGTGTGTGTAAAGTGTGAAAGTTGTTTTTTTGGGCTTTTTGTGGCTGTGTGAGGTTCCTGCTTTTTGCAGGGGCCATTTTGGGTCTAGCACAGCTGCTTTTACATTGTGGGTGAGCCAGTTGTGTTGTGTTGTGTTGTGCTGTGTGTGTGTAAAGTGTGAAAGTTGTTTTTTGGGGCTTTTTGTGGCTGTGTGAGGTTCCTGCTTGTTGCAGGGGCCATTTTGGGTCTAGCACAGCTGCTTTTACATTGTGGATGAGCCAGTTGTGTTGTGTTGTGTGTGTGTAAAGTGTGAAAGTTGTTTTTTTGGGCTTTTTGTGGCTGTGTGAGGTTCCTGCTTTTTGCAGGGGCCATTTTGGGTCTAGCACAGCTGCTTTTACATTGTGGGTGAGCCAGTTGTGTTGTGTTGTGTTGTGCTGTGTGTGTGTAAAGTGTGAAAGTTGTTTTTTGGGGCTTTTTGTGGCTGTGTGAGGTTCCTGCTTTTTGCAGGGGCCATTTTGGGTCTAGCACAGCTGCTTTTACATTGTGGCTGAGCCAGTTGATGTTTTTTAATTTTTATTTGGTGTGCGTTGGAAGAGGGTTAGTCTTATACGGCGAGTATAGCCCAAACCCTATATTTTAACAGGAAAAATTCGGGGGTCGTCTTATACGCCAGAAAATATGGTAATTCCAAATCAAGCCGGGGTTGCGCAAGAATAAATAAAAATGAGATCCGGACAGCTGTGAGGAAAACAGAAATATAGGTAGCCCTCGACGTACCACCACACTCGAGACCCAGATTTCTGTTGTTAAGCGAGGCATTCTTAAGTGTTTTTTGCCTCGGTTGTTAAGTGTATCCCCACAGATGATAAGTTAGTAACCTGGTTGTTAAGTGAATCCGGCTTCCGCATTGACTTGGCTGGTCAGAAGGTCGCAAAATCACGTGACGTTGGGAACGCAGCAACGGTCATAAAAAGGAACCCGTCACATGATCATGAGAATGTTGGAAAGGTTATAACCGTTTCAGTGCGGTTGTAACTTTGAACGGTCACTAAGTGAGCTGTTGTAAGTCGAGGACTACCTGTATTTATTCCTAAAAACCAAAAAGTTTGCCTTTAGCGGCAGCTGAAGAGAAATGGGGTACAGTGGCACAGTTTTATAGGGGAGCTTGTCCTGGGTGTGGACAAGTGTTGATTTTTAGGGTGACACTTGAGGGGTGTGAGAGCGTGTAGGTATGTGCCATCTATGATGTTTATTCATGTGAAAACGCAGTTCGCTGGGAGACCTAATTTAACTAACTCTGCCTTTATAGACCTTCTCCTTTGATATGTGGATTAGGCCTGCGTAACTTATTTGGGGGTTTGAAGAAGTTTTGAGTAAAAGATTTTTCTCCACGGTTATTTATTATTTTTTTTTAAGGGAAGAGGGAGACCGTATAAACTAAAGAATAAAATATATTTGGATATAAAACTTCTCGCAACTTCAATTCCTCAGAATTCCTCAGCCAGACGCTTTTAAGACTTGGGACCTCGAACTCCCAGAATTCGAATTCTGGGAGTTCGAAGTCGCAAGTCTTAAAGTTGTTAACTTTGGCAACTCCTGGTTTTGGGGTTCCTAAAACGGGTCTCGGTCTGCCTTAAATGCTGAGGTTCAGCGACCTGTTTTTTTCTAGAGCCCTCATCCTACAATGACTGGCTGTTGAGACAGGAAACCCACAACAATTAACTGAAACCTGACTGAGTTTTAAAAAACAAAGCTCACCCCCCTCACGCTCACATATCCCAAAAAGACAGGAAACCCACAAAACTTAAAACAGAAATATAACCAAGTTTTAAAAAGAAACTTTTCTCTTTCTCACCTGCCCCCCCCCCCCACATCACCACTAGTACAATACAGTTCTCAATTTACAATTTTTTTTTTACTTTTTTTTTTTTTAAATTTGATTTATATGCCGCCCTTCTCCGGAGACTCAGGGCGGCTTACAATGCATTAAGCAATAGCCTTCATCCTTTTGTATATTTATACAAAGTCAGCTTATTGCCCCAGAACTGGGTCCTCAATTTACCTCAGAAAGGATGGAAGGCTGAGTCAACCTTGAGCCTTGGCGAGATTCGAACCTGCAGTAATTGCAGGCAGCTGGTCTTAATAACCAGCTTAACAGGGTGCCTTAGACCACTGTACTATCAATTGTCTGTTTAATGACTGTTCAAAGGTATAACGGCACAGAAAAAAGGTGGCCTGTAACCGGTCCTCGCACTTATGACCCTTGCAGTCACGTGAGGAAAACCCAGACGCTTCGCAACCGCGTGTATTGATGACCGTTGCAGCGTCCCGAGTTCAAGTGTTCCTCATTCGTGACCTTCTCAGATGGCCTCCGATAAGCAAAGCGAATGGGGGGAAAGCCAGATTCACTTAACGACGCTCAACAACTGCAGCGATTTTTCTGCACGACCCTGGCCAAAAGGTTGTACACAATCGGTACATGATTCGCTTTAACAACGGCCTTGCTTAGCGAGAGAAATTCAGATTCCAGTTGTGGCCATGCGCTGAGGACTACCTGAGGGATTGGGGGATCCCATTTCATGGAAAAGTTGGAGTGGTGCGGTGGGCCTAGAGATGGAGCTCTCGCCTCACAATCAGGAGGCTGTGAGTTCGATCCTAGGTAGAGGCAGATATTTCTCTTTCTCGGCACGATGAGAATATATCTGCGGAACAAAGCTCTGCACTGGCGACAGGAAAGGCATCCGGCCAGTAAACACTCAGCTCCATTCAGTTACCCAGACTCAGTGGTGGGATTCAGCCGGTTCGGGCTGGTTCAGGCGAACCGGTAATTAAATTGCTGGCTGGCCCCTCCCCTCCCCTTCCAGGAATCCCCACGCGCCCCATTTTAGCTCTCAGGTAAGTGCAGGGAGGCCTACTAGGCCCAAAACAGGGCGTGGGGTGGGGGCGGCGTGCTCCCCCCTCATGGCCTGTTTTTGCTCCCAGGGGGGTGTAGGAGGCTGAGTGCTACCTGTCACACCCCCTGGCCACGCCCACCATGGCCACGCCCACCCAGCCAGTCATTAGGACAGAGAACCGGTTGTTAAATTATTTGAATCCCACGACTGCCCAGTTTCCACCCCGCAAGGGATTATGGGGTCGTTAAAAGAGGAGGATGATTTCATGGGAAAGTTGGGGAGCTCCGTAATTCCATTCTCAAATTCCAATGGGCCTCCCCATCCCCAATTCTGATGAGAAAACATCTGGCCGCTTACTTGCATCCCCTGGATCTCTCTCGCTGCCATGCTGCAGATTGGGCAGCGAGCCTCCGAATGCCAAGGGCACCGTCGGTCCTGGCACAGCCTGCAAAACGACAAGGAAAGCTGGTGATGCGAGGTTCAGAAGCAGGAACTCCAAAGGGAATCTTTCTGGGCCTGGAATTCTGTGCACACATGTCCTCTTGGGTGCCTTCCCCCTCCTATGTTTCTCTGCAACAACAGCCCAGTAAGGTAGGCTGGGCCAGAAAGAGAGAGAGAGAGAGAGAGAGAGAGAGAGAGAGAGAGAGAGAGAGAGAGAGAGAGAGAGAGGGGCTGGCACGAATTTCTCTAGGGTTAGCTTCTATGCCTATGGGAGGATTAGAACCCAGATCTCTCTGTTCCTAGTCTAGCATCTTCTGTACTGTATTTAGAGCTGAGATGTGGATAAAGATGATAGATAGATAGATAGATAGAGATATATATATATATATATAAAATAGAGAGATTAGATATAGATAGATATGGATAGATATGGATGGATAGATAGATAGATGATAAGAGAGATTAGATAGATATAGATAGATATGGATAGAGAGATAGATAGAGAGAGATAGATTAGATAGATAGATATAGGTAGATATGGATAGATATGGATAGATATATAGATATATAGATAGATGATAAAATAGATTAGATAGATATAGATAGATATGGATAGATAGATAAATAACGATAAGATAGAAAGATTTTATATATATATATATATATATATATATATATATATATATAGAGAGAGAGAGAGAGAGAGAGAGAGAGAGAGAGAGAGAGAGAGAGAGAGAGAGAGAGAGAGAGAGATTAGATATAGATAGATATGGATAGATATGGATGGATGGATAGATAGATAAATAGATAAGAGAGAGATTAGATATAGATCGATAGATAGATAGATAGATAGATAGATAGATAGATAGATAAGATAAAATAGATTAGATAGATATGGATAGATAGAGAGATAGATAAGATAGATTATAGATAGATTTAGATAGATAGATGATGATAGAGAGATTAGATAGATATAGTTAGATATAGTTAGATAGAGATAGAGAGAGAGAGAGAGAGATCTCTTTATCTGAGAGAGAGAGAGAGAGAGAGAGAGATGATATATGGTAGGTAGATCATAGGTGAATGAATGAATGAGCATACATATACCAGTACAGAATAAAGAATAACAGAATTGGGAGGGACCCTGGAGGTCTTCTAGTCCAACCTCTGCTCAGGCAGGAGACCCTATGTCAAGCAATGCTGCAGCCCCCTCTCTTTTGTATTCTCTAAGCCTCTGGACCAAGCCCACGTGGCATATTTTCGCTTTCCGAAGACCTAACTTTGTCTCTCACACCTAAAATCAGGCACAGGGACCGAGACCAGCAGGCATGAAAGGAAATGGGCATTTCTAACTAAGGAGAGAATGTAATAGTAGAAGAACTGCACTCACAGGCTCATCACACAACACCTGTGCATCATCCTGGGAAGGCAGCTTGCTCTCATCTTTCCTAAATAACATAAAAGAGGCAAAATTAATCCCTGGAGAGGTTAATCGCTTAGTGCATATTGAGTGAATTTTGTTATCGTGGTCCAGAAAAGTAACACTGGAATATCCATTCAATTCTAGTGGATAACATGACTCCACATTCACATCCCAAAACAGTTTTCTCCTATTTCGCCATTTTCCAGCTATCTTGGCTTTCGCTAAGGCTTATGGGAAATGAAAGCTTCCGATCCTTGGATTTCCTTGTGGTCTCCTATTCAAAGATTAACCAACCAAGCCAGGGGTGAAATGCTCCCGGTAGTCCTCAACTTACAACAGTTCATTTAGTGACCCTCCAAAGCAGGGGTGAAATGCTCCTGGTTTGGACCGGATCACCTGATCTGGTAGCCATGGTGGCAGGTGGTTCGGAGAACCGGTAGCAAAAATCCCTGCCCCCCTCCCCCATGCCCAGCTGAGCCGCGCGATCATCAGAGGCTTTTTTTTTAACTTTTAAAAGCATTTTTTCTACAATCTCTTCAGCTGAAAAAATGCTTTTAAAAGTAAAAAAAAAAAAAAAAGCCTCTGATGATCACGCGGCTCAGCTGGGATCGTCAAAGGCTTTTAAAAGAAAAAAAACCTTTTTTTTCTTTTCAATGCCTCTGACGATCCAAGCTGAGTTGCCTGATCGGCAGAGGCTTTTTTTTTTTTTTACTTTTAAAAGCATTTTTTCTACAACCTCTTCGGCCGAAAAAATGCTTTTAAAAGTAAAAAAAAAAAAAAAAGCCACTGATGATCATGCGGCTCAGCTGGGATCGTCAAAGGCTTTTAAAAGGAAAAAACCCTTTTTTTTCTTTTAAATGCCTCTGACGATCCCAGCTGAGTTGCCTGATCGGCAGAGGCATTTAAAAGAAAAAAAGCCTCTGCCGATCAGGCAACTCAGCTGGGATCATCAGAGCCTTTTGAAAGAGATTTTACAATCTCTTTGCCGAAAAAGTTGTAGACAAAATGATTTTAAAAGTTAAAAAAAAAAAAATTGGCCACGCCCACCCAGTCACATTACACCCCCCCACCAAGCCACGCCCACAGAACCAGTAGTAACAAATTTTAGATTTCACCACTGAACCAAGCCCATCTCGGTTGAGCTTCCAAGCCTAATAAAACCAGCCAGATGTTTCCCCTTGCTGAGGCTAACCAACAAATGAACTTAATCATGTGGACTCTCCCAATTTATAGATCCTAGAAAATCCTAATATCGTCGTGCCCAAATTAGCCATCACGTTGCTTTGGACAACACAAGGTTTTAATGTGTTTGTCGATCTAAAAACTATTGTGTGGAGCCTTTGCTGCCTTCTGGGCTTGATAGTTTTCTTGTGGACGTTTCATTACCCAACTAGGTAATATCATCAGTGCTACCAGGGAGTGGGGTTTGCTCTCTCTTTATAATATAAGTGCCTTCCCTTTCAGTGTTGGTAGGAATGGTGGTTGATGGTTCTTTGATTAGGCTGTTGTTTACTGTTTGATTGTTTGTCTGAGCTGGTAGTTTATTTATTTGTTTGTTTGTTTGTTTGTTTGTTTGTTTGTTTGTTTCTATTTCTATACCACCCTTCTCCAAATAGGACTCAGGGCGGTGAACAGCCAAAGTAAAAAACAGAACATACAAAATTTAAAAACAGTTTAAAATAATTAAATAGTTCCTTGATTGTCCCACTAACACTGACAATTCTAGCACTGATGATATTAGCTAGTCAGGTCATAAAATGTCTGCAAGAAAATAACTAAACTCAAAGAGCAACAAGGACCTCACAGATGATCTCCTCCTCCTCCTCCTTTTCGCCAACTCTTTTAGCACTGATGATGTTACCTAGTTTGGTAGTGAAACATCTTCAAGAAAACAATCAAGCTCAGAGAGCACCAAGGATCCCACAGTCCCCCTCCTCCTTCCTGAAAACCCTTCTAGCACTGATGATGTTACGTAGTTTGGTAACAAAATCTCTGCAAGAAAACCACCAAGCTCAGAGAGTACCACAGCCCTCCTCCCCCTCCTCTTCCTCTCTGCAAACCCGCTTCCTTCTAGCACTGCCGATGTTACATAGTTGGGCCATAAATCATCTCCAAGAAAACTTTTGTGGCCTGTCGGCTGCCCGACCCCTCCACAATCCAAATCAGAGGAGGGGGAGGTGTGGGAGTCAGGGTCAGCATCAAGGCAACCTGTTGTGGCTCCGTTGCCTGAGCCTGGGCTATCGACAGATGCAGACTCTGAGAGTGAGGGAGAGGAGTTGGCAAGGCCTCCCTCTCCAGGATCTCCTCTCTGGCAATGCCTCCGGAGGACACCGAAGGCCAAACGATAGGCTCAGAGCCAAGCACGTCCCCGCAGCCACAGGTGGACAGCGACGAAGGAGATAAGTGCTGGCTGGACCCTCGGCAGAGGTGCAGGGAGAAGCGTGCACAGCAGAGGGGAAGGCATACCAGAGATTAGCTGAGTCACTGGACCACACCCCACAGGGTATAAATGTGGGTGTGGTGGCCAGTTCAGTTTGTGACGAGCAAAAACTAGAAATAATCCATGATCTCTGCGTTACTGGACTTTGCCTGCTTTATCGGACTGCATTTGGATTAATCCTTGTATTGTTGAAAACTCTGCCTGTTTTATCGGAATGCTGGCAGTCTAATCTTTGTTTTATGTGAGTAAAGTCTGAATTGGCAGCTAGCCACTGGGTTGCTGCCAGCTTTATTTTCAAAGAATTTTGTCGTGTTGCTTATTAACTCTGGGCCGTCTGTGGGGGTGCGTGAGTGGAACGGGGACAGAACACAACCTGAGAGCTCCGAGGGGGAAGAGTGAATGGAGCTGGCAGAGAGAGAGAGAAAGAGGTGGAGCCTGGGCCATCCGTGTCACTGCATTTTTGTATTTACCAGATGAGCTCTTATTTTTTAACTTTCAGACTTACCGTAGCTTGCCAAGTTCTTATCAGTGAGCTAACTGCACATGTCTACATTCTTTCGCTTTCTTCTAACTTTCTTTGTTCTCCGGCCAAGAGAGGTGGCCGGGAAAGCTTTGCCAAGATGTAATTAATTAGCTAGTAAGATGTTTTATTTTCTTTATAACAAATAAATGAGTTTTTCTTAGAAAATATATCTTCGGGTTTATTTTCTTAAGTATACTTCAAGGAAAAAGCCTCGATCCATTCTCTAATCAAGGTGCAATTATCCAAAAGCAGAATGGGATTAATTGCCACCCTGACAATCCGTCAGCCCTCAGATGGAGAGTCAACAGCCCCCAGGTCTGGAGGTGGCTGATGAGGAAGAGGAGGAACAGCTGGGTCCAGTGCCTGACGCGCGGATGCACAGAAGGCAGAGGAGAGGAGAGCAGTGGAAATCTATGGGCCGGTCCTTGGGACGGAAGAGTCACTGCTGCTAGCGAAGCCTCACCCTAGCTCTGGGGATAAAAGGGGGGACGGAGGGCAGAGATGACATAGGTGTGGCAGACAACTATTCATCTCCCTGCTGGATGGACTTGTTAGCCTGTGGTGAGCGAGAAACTTTTTGCCGGGGCTGCTGGCGCTCCTAATAAAGGAATCATTGATTTAACTACAGACGGTTTGTCGTGTTTTGGGGAGCTGGGTCAGAACAAAAACCGCCAACCTCAGAGAGCACCAAGGACCCCACAGTTCAACCCAGAGCTACAAATATTTTCTGGAACGTTCTAAAGTCCCCAGATACCCTCCGAAGGATGGAAAGACCGAGAAACGCTCAATTCTATTCATCGGAGGGTATTGCTTCATCTTCCAACATACCCAGACCATCCCTTGGAGGACTAAACAAGGCAGGTGTCAGGTTTCGATGTCATCTCAAATAAATTGCACTCCCAAACAATTAATCTTTGCTGAAATATTCCATTTATTGAGTACGACAGATCTGGGCCCGACTTCATCGTAGCCGATACTAACCCTCTGACCCCCAAACCCTTCCCTTTCCGTTCCCCAGTTCTCATCTTTTCATTGGCCATCTTCCAAGCCAGTCTCCCTAGCTTCTGACCTCACCCCACAGGAATGTTCCCCCCGCCATCCCATCTCCTTGGGGATATTATCTACAGAGAAAATAAGTAGGTGAAAAGTCAAGCCTCGTCTTTTTATGGCAGCATCAGAATGCTGATAGCAGGGGCTGAAGATGGGGCTGGGCCAGGGGTGGGCTTCAAAAATTTTAGCAAGGGGTTCTCTGCTCGGTTGCTGGGTGGGCGTGGCCATGGTGGGTGTGGCATAGTCAGCCTCCTGCACCATGGCAGGAGGAGAGCATTTTTGCCCTCCCTGGGCTCCAGAGGATTTTCTCGAGCCTCCGGGAGGGCGAAAATGGCCTCCCCAGGCTCCGGAGGCCCTCTGGAGGCCAAAACTGGGCCCGTTTCCGGCCTTCCCAAACTTCTAGTAGGCCCGTTTTTCACCCTCCCTGAGCCTCTGTGTGCGCCCTGCACTTACCTGCATCCAAAACGGGCTGCATGGGGACTCCTGGGAAGGGTGGGCGGGGCCAGCCAGGAGTGGGATTAGGGGGTTCTCCAAACTGCACAGAATCTTAGCTAGAGGTTCTCCCGAACCCTTGCGAACCCCCAACGGCCCACCCCTGGGCTGGACGAGGGGAAGATGGTCAGGGTCACGTCTGATACATCTGTTCATTTTTAAAGTAGGGTGTGCTCAGATGCTGAGCTCCTTTAGGGGGGTCCCTGGCCAAAAAATTTCCCAATGTTTACCTTTTGCAGGCTGCACAGAGAGCCACAAAACAGGCGGAGAGCAGGGACATCCCGGCGATGAAGAAGGGGAGCCCTCCCACCGGCCCTTCCCCGAAGACGGACGCCATAAGATGGAGGCCGAAAAGCTGCTTGGCACAGGAAGCTGTAAGCAGAGAGAGAGAGAGAGAAAAAAAAATCAGCCACTGAAATACAGGTAGTCCTCGACGTACGACCACATCGGAGCTCCACATTTCTGTCGCTAAGCGAAACATTAAGTGAATTTTGCCTCATTTCACGACCTTTCTCGTCATAGGGAAGCACTGCAGTTATTCAGTTAGCAACCCCGTTGTTAAGTGAATCTGGCCTCCCCGTTGAATTTTTATTTTTTTTTTAATTTGACTTATATGCCGCCCTTCTCCGGAGACTCAGGGCGGCTTACAATGCGTTAAGCAATAGCCTTCATCCTTTTGTATATTTTTACAAAATCAGCTTATTGCCCCCACAAACTGGGTCCTCAATTTACCTACCTTAGAAAGGATGGAAGGCTGAGTCAACCTGGTGAGATTCGAATTTACAGTAATTGCAGACAGCTGGAGTTAAATTACAATGCATTAGTCTGCTGAGCTATCCAGGCCCCTAGAAGGTTCCTTGCTCATCAGAAGGTCGCAAAAGGGAATTACGTGACCCCAGGGCACTGACAACCGTCATAAATACGAGTCAGCCGCCGTGTGCCTGAGTTTTGGTCATGGGATTGCTACAAAGGTGTGAAAAAAATGGTCCTAAGTACCTTTTTTCAGTGCCATTGTAACTTTGAAACCGTCACTGTGAATCATTGTAAGTTGAGGACTACCTGTACCAAGCGCCCGAATTGCTTTTTTGGGTGGCCAAGTGCCCGAATAGCTTTTTTTCAGAAATCAATCTTGGGACCTTAAGTAATTGTCCCTCATATGCCAAATTAGAATGTATGGATTCCAATAAAATAAGCCATCTTAAACAAACATTTAACCAACATAGCTGATGGAACCACCATCCATCTTCCAGAACATCCCTACACCTTGATCAGTTGGTTAGTCTTCGCCGTCTCACATCATCTTCTCTCCTGCCCTACGTCTAAGCAAGCCCATTCTCAACATCTCTCTCCTCTCTGGAGCTACATCTGAGCTCCAGGTTCCACAGAATAACAGAGCTGGAAAGGACTTTGGAGGTCTTGTAGTCCAACCCTCTGCTCAACCCTGTACCATTTCAGATAAATGATTGTCCAGTTTCTTCTTAAAAAGTTCCAGTGTTGGAGCACCCACAACTTCTGGAGGCAAGTTGTTCCACTGGTTAATCGTTCTCGCTGTCAGGAAATTTCTTCTCTCATTGATGAGTTTCCACCCATTGCTTCTTGTCCTGCTTTCAAGGTGCTTTGGAGAATAGCTTGACTCCCTCTTCTTTGGGGCAGCCCCTGAGATATCGGAAGACTGCTATCATGTCTCCCCTAGTCCTTCTTTTCATTAAACTAGACATACCCAGTTCCTGCAACCGTTCTTCATATGTTTTAGCCTCCAGTCTCCTAATCCTCTTTGTTGCTCTTCTCTGCACTCTTTCTAGAGTCTCCACATTTTTATATTGTGGTGACCAGAACTGGGTGCGGTATCCCAAGTGTGGCCTTACCAAGGCATTATAAAGCCTGAGTGGCGTAGGAGGCTAATGCCTCCTACTAAGGCAGCATTTAACCTGCAATTACTGCGAGTTCAATTCTCCCCAGGCTCAAGGTTGACTCAGCCTTCCATCCTTTCTAGGGTGGGTAAAATGAGGACTCAGTTTGTGGGGGCAATAAGCTGACTTTGTATAAATATACAAAAGTATGAAGGCTATTGCTTAATGCATTGGAAGCCGCCCTGAGTCTCCGGAGAAGGGCGGCATATAAAAATATAATAGCTCAATATTGGAAGAAGGACTCTTTGCCTACTATTGAAGAGTGGATATTGAAAGTAACAAACCTAGCAGAAATGGCGAAAATCTCGGTGTATTTGAAGGACCACACGCAAGAAAGATACGTATCGGAATGGAGAAGATGGATTGATTATATTCAAAATAAGTATCAGACAAGAAAATATCAAATAGCTTATGAATGAATGTTAGTATTAGAAGTATTTGGTTATTTGTAGTGGAGTTAAGGTTTCAGTGGGGGAGGCAGTATTTTGAGGATAAGTAGATTAATCTAGTTTATGTTTGATTAAATGGAATACCTTGTATTTTGCTCTGGGAAGTCGGGGGTGGGGAGGGTGGGATGAAGGGGGGGAAAGGGTGGGGGGAACATGGGGGGGGAAATTTCTGTATTTCTTTTTTGTAAAACTTTTCAATTAAAAAAAAAATATATAAAAATAAATAAATAAATAAATAAATAAAATACTAACACTTCACGTGATCTTGATTCTATCCCTCTATTAATGCAGCCTAGGATTGTATTGGCTTTTTTGGCAGCTGCAGCACGACACGGGCTCCTATTTTAAGCGATTGTCCACTAGGACTCCAAGATCACAAACCCAACCACGTTGGCCCAGAAACAAACCAAGGGGGCTTCACAGAAGAGAAGAGGACCCACAGCGAAGTTATAGTAGTGTTCAAAGAGGCAACTCGTCAAGGCTCAAGGTTGACTCAGCCTTCCATCCTTTCTAAGGTGGGTAAAATGAGGACCCGGATTGTGGGGGCAATAAGCTGACTTTGTATAAATATACAAATGGATGAAGGCTATTGCTGAGCACATTGGAAGCCACCCTGAGTCTCCGGAGAAGGGCGGCATATAAATCAAATAAAAAAAAAAAAAAAAACTTACTTCACTCGTTCAGGAACAGCAGGAAGCCAACAGTCATGCTTACGATCTTTCCCACCCGTTTCTCATGGATCTTCTCGCCGGTTGGATCTTCTTGTAGGCGTCCTTCAAGCCAACTCAAGCCCCCAACTCCTGCTCGGATGCCCTTTTCTGCTGCTGGAGGCAGCTCTCTCACACAGCCGTTTCCACCAGGAGGTGTGGAGAAAACCAGCCAAACAGAGCCCAGTCAAAGATAATGCTTTGGTTTCCTGCCCACGCGCCCCAAAGACAAAGCGGCTGTTTGAAACCAAACAACTGAAAAGCAGGCAACTCTGGCAGGCAGGTAGGTGGGGAGCGAATCGGCTCCAGGTAGTCCTCGACTTACGACCACAGCTGAGGTCGGCATTTCTGTTGCTAAGTGAAACATTGGTGGAGTAGAGTTTTGGCCCATTTGAGGGCTTTCCTTGCGAGGGTTGTGAAGTGACTCCACGCAGTTGGTTAAGTTAGTCCCACGGTCGTTAAGTGAATCCGGATTCCCCGCTCGTCAGAAGGTCTCGATCAGGTGGCCCTTGGACACCGCAACCGTCATAACTAGGAGTCAGTTGCCAAGCGTCTGAATTTTGATCAAGTGAGCGCGGGGAGGCTGCGACAGTCTTAAGTGTGAAAAAATGGTCATAAGAAGTCTGAACCAGAACTCACAACAGCTCTTGTAAGAAACCCAATTTATAAACAGAAAAGTCATTTAGCAAAACATCCTTGCTAAATCCAATCACAGGTAGTCCTCAACTTACGACCACGATTGAGCCTAGAATTTCCATTGCTAAGTGAGACAGTTTACATTTTGGCCCATTTTATGATGACGTTTCTTGACAAGTTTGTCAAGGGAATCACTGCAATTGTTAAAATTAGTTACCCGGTTGTTAAGTGAATCCGGCTTCCCCCATTGACTTGGTTCGTCAGAAGGTCGCAAAAGGGGATCACGTGACCCTAGGACACAGCAACAATGATCATAATAATTTAACGAAGTTAGAAGGGATCTTGGAGGTTTTCTAGTCCAACCCCCTGCTTAGGCAGGAAACCCTATAACATTTCAGACAAATGGTTATCCAACATCTTCTTTAAAAAATTCCAGTGTTGGAGCACCCACAACTTCTGGTGGCAAGTCGTTCCACTGGTTAATTGTTCTCACTGTCAGGAAATTTCTCCTTAGTTCTAAGTTGCTTCTCTCCTTGATTAGTTCCCACCCATTGCTTCTTGTCCTGCCTTCAGATGGAGAACTTGACTCCCTCTTCTTTGGGGCAGCCCCTCAGATATCGGAAGACTGCTATCATATCTCCCCTAGTCCTTCTTTTCATTAAACTAAACATACCCAGTTCCTGCAACTGTCCAACCTTAGTTTTATCCTCCAGTCCCCTAATCATCTTTGTTGCTCTTCTCTGCACTCTTTCTAGAGTCTCCACATCTTTTTTACATCGTGGCGACCAAAACTGGGTGCAGGATTCCTAGTGTGGCCTTACCAAGGCCTTATAAAGTGGTATCAACACTTCACATGATCTTGATTCTATCCCTCTGTTGATGCAGCCTAGAACTGTGTTGGCTTTTTTGGCAGCTGCTGCACACGGCTGGCTCATATTTAAGTGGTTGTCCACTAGGACTCCAAGATCCCTCTCACAGTTACTCCTACTGAGCAAGGTACCACATATACTGTACCTGTGCATTTTGTTTTCCTTGCCTAAAAGTAAGTACTCATAAGTACGAACCAGTCACCAAGCGTCTGAATTCGGATTGTGTGTCCACGGGGATGCTGCAGCAGTCCTAAATATGGAAAACAGTGATAATTCACTTTTTTTCAGTGCCGTTGTAACTTCGGTCACTAAACGAACAGTCGTTAAGTGGAGGACTAGCTGTGTTCCCAGATATTTCCCTCCGCAACTGATCGTTGATGGGTCTTTGTACTTTCTATATTGCTAATACATATATAATAAAAGGAGGAAAATGGAAAGGTTCGCGGACGTTAAGGGGGCATTATTAGATCCAAAAATGAGAAGCTTCCCAATTTGGGGAATTAAAACAGCGAAGAAAAACTGCATTTTACAAGAGGACAAGCTGTCTCTTAGCAGTTTGCGATGGAGTCTGAATTTGCAAAAAACGCTTACAAAGATGAAACGGAGGGGAAGAGAAATCATAGCGAGCTCATTTTTTTTCACTTCGGGGGATGCGCGAGAAAATGTGCACAGGAAACGGCAGCGATAAACAGTTATTGTGGTCCCATGACTTCACCGCTGCTCTTGGCGTGCACGCCGGGAACAGGCCGCAGATTATCTCGCTGAGGTCTAGCAGCTTGTTCGCTTGCCATCATTGCCCCTGGCTGAGTCTAAGGAAAAAAACAACGGTTGTTTTCTCAAAATTTTTGCTTTTTCACAAGGCAACCGGACTTTGTTTTGCTAGAAGACATCTCGCTTCTCCTCCGAGAAGCTTCTTCCGTTCTGACTGAATGGTGGAGGATGGAAGGATTTACTGTATATTCTTTACAGTCATCTGGTCGTTAGTACTCTCTCTGAGAGTCATTGAGGCCACTTGGTTTATCTGTGCCCTCGATCGCCTGAATAGTGATCTTCTTGCAACTGCTGAAAGGAGGGTGTGGTAGACAGGGGAGAGGGGGCGTCCTATTCCTCCATCCCTTTTCAAATAATCAGTGGAACCACTTGCCTCCAGAAGTTGTGAATTCTCCAACACTGGAAGTTTTTAAGACGAGATTTACCATTTGTCTGAAGTGGTGTAGGGTTTCCTGCCTGAGCAGGGGGTTGGACTAGAAGACCTCCAAGGTCCCTTCCAACTCTGTTATTCTATTCTGTTCCGTTCTGTTCTATTTTCTATTCTATTCTATTCCATATTTTCTATTCTGTTCTCTCTGTTGAGAGAGGGCTGTTAAATCTTAATGCAGATGGCCTCTTTGACCCCATGCGGGACCGCTGGTTTGAATGAGTTCTAGTCCCTCCTTAGGCATGAAAGCCGTTTGGCTGCCTTTGAGCCAATCACCAGGAGACGACGAGTTCTAGTCCCGCCCCTTAGCCACAAAAGCCGTCTGGGAGACTTTGGGCTAATCACCAGGAGACGGTGAGTTCTAGTCCCGCCTTAGGCATGAAAGCCATCTGGCTGCCTTTGAGCCAATCACCAGGAGACGGCGAGTTCTAGTCCCGCTTTAGGCATGAAAGCCAACTGGGTGATTTTGGGCCAATCATCAGATGATAGTGAGTTCTGGTCCCGACTTAGATGGTTGAGTATCTTTGGGTCAATCACCAGGAGACAGTGAGTTCTAGTCCCACCTTAGACATAAAAGCCGGCTGGACGAGTTTGGCCCAATCACTAGGAGACAGTGAATTCTAGTCCCGCCTTATGCACAAAAGCTGTCTGGGAGACTTTGGACCAATCACCAGGAGACAGTGAGTTCTAGTCCCGCCTTAGGCATGAAAGCTGGCTGGGTGACTTTGGGCCAATCACCAGGAGACAGTGAGTTCTAGTCCCGCCTTACGCACAAAAGCTGTCTGGGTGACTTTGGGCCACTCATCTCTCTCAGTCCAACCTACCTCACAGGATCGTTGTGGGGAAAACAGGAAGAGGAAGGCATGCGTTGGATCCTTTTGCTGCCTTCTTTGTAAAAAATAATAAAGGCAGGATGTAAACAAATAGGAGCCTTGGTAGTACAGTGGTCTAAAGCACCCTGTTATTAACTCCAGCTGCCTGCAATTACTGCAAGTTCAAATCTCCCCAGGCTCAAGGTTGACTCAGCCTTCCATCCTTTCTAAGGTAGGTAAATTGAGGACCCAGTTTGTGGGGGCAATAAGCTGACTTTGTATAAATATACAAAAGGATGAAGGCTATTGCTTAGCGCATTGTAAGCCGCCCGAGTCTCCGGAGAAGGGCGGCATATAAATCAAATTAAAAATAAAATAAAATAAAAAGAACCGAAAGAGGCATGGCCCCTAGGAAAAGGGTGGGTTGAAAAGCGATCTAACCCAAGGAAGTGCTTTGTGCAAGAATATTGTTGCGCCTCCTTCTGGTCAAACAGATTAATGGTAAAACAAACAAACAAACAAAAAAGACATAATAAGAGTTTTTCTCATTTTATTTTTCTCCATTCACCATAGTAGTGCTCCTGTCCGCTAAGAGGGGGAGAAAAGAGGCCATCAGTCCCCAAGGAACCATAGAGAAGTCCTGGAGGAACCAAGTACCAAAGAGATGGGCAGGTCATAACACAGGAGTGGGCAACTCGGGCAACTCTAGGACCTGTGGACTTCAACTCCCAGAATTCCTGAGCCAGCAACGCTGGCTCAGGAATTCTGGGAGTTGAAGTCCACAGGTCGTACAGTTGTCATAACAGAAAACCTTCCTTAATCAAATCAGTCCTGAATCTGCTGTGGATATCTGGGGGAGCTTTTCTCTGAAGCTACCAGTTCAAATCCAGCCCACTTGTCCAACAGGAGAGAATGAAACCCAGAAGAAAGGAAGGCTCCTCTGCAGCCTATCCTTTTTTTTTTTTCCCCGCAACACGGAGAAAAACCTAGAACTCGGTCATTTTTTTGTGCGTGTCGGCTTTCTTCTGCTCCTGCTGAAGACTCGCCTCCAAAGATCGCAGCTCGCCCAGTTTCTTGTGGGCTTCAGAGAGCTTCTCTTCCAGCTTCGCGGTGGCGACGGTGTGCCTAGAAATCGTCAAGAGAGAGAGAGAGAGAGAGAAAGAGAGATCAGGAATGGGACAGGTAGCCCTCGAGTTACGACCGGCCCCTTTGCAATCGTTCCAATGTAGGACTGACATCTATGAAAAGAGGACTTATGACCTGGATTCAAAGTTCTGACGGATGGGTCCTTCCGTGGTCGCATGACCGAACTTCGGGTGCTGGGCAATATAGCTACATTTATGCTGGTTTGCAGCATCCTATAACAGTAGCACTTAAGACTTATATGCTGCTTCACAGTGCTTTTGCAGCCCTCTCTAAGCGGTTTACAGAGTCAGCCTTTTGCCCCCAACAATCTGGGTCCTCATTTTACCCACTTGGGAAGGACGGAAGGATGAGTCAACCTGGAGATGTTCAAGATCGAACTCCTGGCAGTGGGCAGAGTTTGCTTGCAATACTGCATTCTAACCACTGGGAGGGAGGAAGGGAGGGAGGGAGGGAGGGAGGGAAGGAAGGAAGGAAGGAAGGAAGGAAGGGCAATACCAATAGCACTTATATACCACTTCATAGTGTTTTTACAGCCCTCTCTAAGTGGTTTTACAGAGTCAGCCTTTTGCCCTCAACAATCTGGGTCCTCATTTTACCCACCTTGGAAGGATGGAAGGCTGAGTCAACCTTGAGCCTGGTGAGATTTGAACTCCAAATTGAAAGCAGCCGGCAGGCAGCAGAAGTAGCTTGCAGAACCGAACTCTCACCACTGCGCCATCGTGGCTCATCCTATGATCATCTGATCATGTTTTGCGATCCTTATGCCCAAAACTGGAACTTATTTCGGGCAAAATGGCACTGATTCACTTAACGACCACTTTATTCGCTTAACAATGTGTTGGGGAGAGTGAAGAAGACATTCAGAGGGGTACAAATCAATCTCAACTAGGGGAAAGTCAAGATTAGCCAAACACCCCCTCCCCCACAAGGGGAGCTGCCGTCTTTCTTATTCTTTTTGCCATTTCTGTGTGGTCAGATCTGCAGCTGGGTAGCCATGAGCTGGAATCAAATAATCCTGAAGCCTGAATTGGTGGCCCCGAATTGATACCCACAAAAGAGCAAATGCTGGTTATGGACCCCACACCACTGGGAAAATCCCCCATGTTCGTTTATTTATTTATTTATTTATTTAAATTTGATTTATATGCCGCCCTTCTCCGGAGACTCAGGGCGGCTTACAATGCGTTAAGCAATAGCCTTCATACTTTTGTATATTTATACAAAGTCAGCTTATTGCCCCCACAAACCGGGTCCTCATTTTACCTACCTTAGAAAGGATGGAAGGCTGAGTCAACCTTGAGCCTGGTGAGATTCGAACTTGCAATAATTGCAGACAGCTGTTCTTAATAACAGGGTGCTTTAGACTACTGTACTACCAAGGCTCTTATTCATTCATTCATTCATTCATTCATTCATTCATTCATTCATTCATTCATTCATTGGTTCGATTCTCCAGAGACTCAGGGCAGCTTACAATGCGTTAAGCAATAGCCTTCATACTTTTTGTATATACCTGCTTAGTAGGGCTTTCGGCCCCACCCCCCAAGTGGTGTTCTATTTTTTATACAAAGTCAGCTTATTGCCCCCACAATCCGGGTCCTCATTTTACCTACCTCGGAAGGATGGAAGGCTGAGTCAACCTTGAGCCTGGTGAGATTCGAACTTGCAATAATTTTAGGCAGCTGGCAGCTAAGTGCTACTTAACAGCACTTTAGTCCGCTGCTCCACCAAGGCTCTTCTCTTTTGCCCTTCCCTTTCCCCTCTTTCCTTCCCTTCCTCCCTCCCAACCCTCCTTCCTTCCTGTATTCCTTCCCTTCCCTTCTCAAAACCTTCCTCTCTTCCTTCATCAAACTTCTTCCTCCCTCCCTTCATTTCACACAACCTATTGACACTGGTGGGATTCAGCCGGTTCGAGCGATTCGGTAGTTAAATTACTGGCTGGCCCTGCCCCTCCCAGCCCTGCCCTGCCCCTCATTTTGGCTCCCAGGTAAGTGCAGGGAGGCCTTCCAGGCCCAAAACAGGGCACGGGTGTGTATGGTGCCCCCACCCCCGCGGTCCATTTTTGCTCCCAGGGAGGCCTACTAGGCCCAAAACGGGGTGCGGAGGTGGTGGTGGTGTGTCCTGCCCCCCGTGGCCCGTTTTTCCTCCCAGGGGGGTGCAGGAGGCTGAGTGCTGCCTGTCACACCCTTGGCCACGCCCACCCATCCGATCATTAGGGCAGAGAACTGGTTGTTAAATTATTCGAATCCCACCACTGCCTAATTGACCAAATTCAGCTTAACTCCCTGGTTTGCACAATATAACAAATCACGAACGAACCCAACAGAGCTGGAACTCCACAACCGGCTAACTGCACTGGCTCCCTATTGGTCTCCGGTCACAATTCAAAGTGTTGGTTATTACCTTTAAAGCCCTACCTGGCTCAGGGCCAGGGTATCTTCGAGACCGCCTTCTGCCGCATAGCTCCCAACGACCGGTAAGATCCCACAGAGTCGGTCTCCTCTGGGTCCCGTCAGCTAAACAATGTCGGCTGGCGGGCCCGCAGGGGAGGGACTTCTCTGTGGCTGCCCCGGCTCTCTGGAACCAGTTACCACCTGAGGTCCGGACCATCCCCACCCTGTTGGCCTTCCGGAAAGCGGTGAAGACCTGGTTTTTCCGGCTGGCCTGGGGCCGTTGATCTCGCTCTAGCGATCCGGCAAGATCCGGCCATGAATGGCGTGAATGAGTTTTAATGTTTTTAATTCTTAAAAATGTTTTTTATAATGATTTTAAATGTGTTGTGAGCTGCCCTGAGTCTTCGGAGAGGGGCGGCATACAAATTGAATTAATAAAAAAATAAAAATAAAATAATAACCCGCATAAAACCTTCATCCGAGCGAGCCACAAGCAGAGCCTGCAGGTTGGGGAAATCCAACCTCTGGACCTTGGTCTGACCTGCCTAGAAAGGCCTTTTTCTTAAAGGCAGAGCTGTCCTACTGAGAGCAGGTACCTGCACACTTGCCTAACCTACGCGGGAAGACCTGAGAGGTGGGTGTTAATTTCCGTCCCCCCCCCCACAGGAGCAGCAGAGAAGGTCATCCAAACGACCCCTCTCCCGCCCACCAGGCCGTCTCCTTACCGCCCGACGTTGCGTGCCAAGGCCTCGCGGATCCCTCGGATGTCCCTCTGAGTCTGCTCGATTTTTTCCACGGTCTGGAAGAGGCGGACGTTGAGGGCCTTCTTGGTAGTCTTGCTGGCATGGTAGATCTCTTTGCTGCTCCTCTCCAGCGGGGGGAGCGTCCCTCCCGGCTGCCCCCCCGAATCCTGGCTCTGCAGCTTCTCGTTCAGAAAATCAAACACGTTTCGGCGTTTCGGGGTCTGCTGCCGGACGCGTGACGCGTTCTTGCCTTTCGCCCTCCGTTTCCTGGGCTTGGACGGATCCAGCTTCCCCTCCCTCTTCTTCTGCAAGATCTCCGCGCACTGGTCCAGCGATTTCCCCTTGGGGAGCACGACGGCTAATACTGGCTCGATCCGACCCTCTGCATTTTTGCCCAGGCCTGCAAGGAAAAGTGTGATATGGGTGTGCATGTGGTACAAGAAGAATCGCAGCTGGGGCATCCATTGGAGGGCAGAGCCTCCTTGGGGGTGTACACCTCATACTGTCCTCCCACTGGACCCACACGTACCTTTTCCAAGCTCATAACCCATCTGGGCCATAAGTTTGGAGCCTATGCCGCGCGTATGGGCTTCCCAGCTGCCGAAGGACGAAAGACAGGTGGATGTCCCTTCCCCGTTCTCCGGAATGCTGCCGTCAATGACTGGAGACAAGAGGGAGAGATAAGAGGCAGGAAGAGGCATTCTGGGAGTTAAAGTCTGCTGGCTGGGGAATTGTGGGAGCTGAAGTCCACCCATCTTAAAGGATGCTGGCTGGGGAATTCTGGGAGTTGAAGTCCACCCATCTTAAAGGAAAGCTGGCTGGGGAATTCTGGGAGTTGAAGTCCACCCATCTTAAAGGATGCTGGCTGGGGAATTGTGGGAGTTGAAGTCCACCCATCTTAAAGGATGCCGGCTGGGGAATTCTGGGAGCTGAAGTCCACCCATCTTAAAGGATGCTGGCTGGGGAATTCTGGGAGTTGAAGTCCACCCATCTTAAAAGTTGCTAAGGTTGAGAAACACAATGTTACCCAATTGTAAGTCAAGGACTGCCTGCACGGTGGCCAAAGGGAGATTTGGAGGGTACAAGCAGACGATTAGGAGTAAAATAAATGCAGTAACTACAGGGCAGCGGGAAAGTCAGAAAAGCATTGTCTTTTACCTTTAGCGTACGCAGAGCTATCCAGTTCATCGCCTTCAGACTCAGAGGAGGAGGAAGAGGTCTCCTCGCTACGGAGCGGAGGGATTATGCCATCCCCTTCCACCACCGCTTCCTTCAGGAGCAGCGAGTCAAACTTCACTGTGTAATAACCGCTGTCAATGTCTGAGAAAGGAGATTATTTGTGTTATTTACATCCGCCTTAATTATTTCTATCAATAACTCAGGGTGGTGTATACACAGGTAGTCCTCAAATTACAACAGAATTGAATAGAATAGAATAGCATGTAGAGTAGAATAGAATAGAATAGTATAGAACACAGAATGGAATGGAATGGAATAGAACGCAGAGTGGAGTGGAGTGGAGTGGAGTGGAATAGAATAGAATAGAATAGAATAGAATGCAGAATGGAATGGAATGGAATAGAATATAGAATATATAGGACAGGATAGGACAGAATAGAATAGAATATATGGAATAGAATAGAAAATATAGAATATATAGAACAGAATAGAGAATAGAATTATTGTCACTTTGAATGTACACTAATTGGCATACATTAAAAATGAAATTTCATTTCATACAGCTCTTAAAAGGGTTACCACCTCCAATTTTATAGTACATAAACATGACAAGATAAATAAAAACAAAATTATGTAGATACCCACATATATTAGTTCACTTGGTGATCGTTCGACGTTAAGGTGGTCCTGAAAAAAATGACGTAGGACCATTTTTCACACTTTTTCGCTTTTCACACATGACTACTGTAGCATCCCCACGGTCACGCAATTTACATTCGGATGCTTGACTTATATTTATGACGGATGCAAGGTTCAGGAGTCACGTGATTCCCTTTTGCGACCTTCCGACAAAATTGACGGGGGAAACCAGTTTCACTTAACAACCACATGGCCAATTTAACAACCGCAGCGGTTCACTTAACAACTGTGGCAAGAAAAGTCGCAAAATGGGGTAAAACTCACTTAACAAAATTTCTCACTTAGCAACATCAATTTTGGGCTCAGCTGCTTGGAAACTCATTGAATTTGGTACTCAATGCAATTTGTTGCAAAAAGTTTGTCATTATTTGTTTGGTACTCAACGCATATTTAGAACTTGTCGGTGTTTGGCTGCCTTGTGACTCACTATATTATTCCTTAGGGGGACAATGTGTTTGGTACTCATTGTTTTTGTTACTCATCGCACCTTTGGGAACCAATAAACAATGAGTACTGAGGTACCACTATACCTAATACTTCTTCCTCCTCCTATTTTCCCTGAAACAACAATCCTGCAAGGTATATTGAACTGAGAGAGAGAGTGGCCCAAAGTCACCCAGCTGGCTTTTGGGCCTAAGGCAGGATTAGAACTCAAACTCTCCAGGTGATTAGCTGGCTGGGGAATTCTGGGATCTTAAAAGCTGCAGAGTTTGAGAAACACGGAGTTAAAAGGATGGCAAAAAAATGGGCTGCCTCAGGTCTCCGAAAGCTTCTACATCAGTGAGCCAAGGAAACGTTTAAAAAATGAGCAAATTTGGAATACAGCAGCAAAGCTAGGGGGGGGAAAAGTGATCTCTGGATTTTCTTAAAAGAGCAAATCATCCACCAAATCTGGGTGCAATTAAGGGGCCCACAATACTAGGCCAGAGTTCTACCTGTCCCAGGTGTAGCTGCCAGCGTCCTAAGCTGTTCTGACCCAGCCTTAGCACAAGCAAGAAACAGACTCCTTCTTTATTTATCTCCCGTGAATTAATGGCATTCACACACCAAAAAGTCCAGGCAAGAGTCCTTCAAGGAGTTAACTGCAGTAACAGACCTGATCAGTTCCTTGAGATAATTGCCAGGCCACAAAGCTGCAAATTAAGTTCTGGCAAGCAGTCTGAGGCACGGAACTGGATGAGCCAAATCTTCAGAAATACAAACTGTTGTCTCCTACGACCACCCACTCCGCTTTCCTTCTATTTATTCCCCAGCCAGGGAGGGGCGATTCAGCGTCCACATGTGCTTTCCTTCCCAAGTTGACTCCTTGCCCTCCGTTGCTCACCTCTCCTAAGAGCTCTGCGCATACGTGCATCTGGAACAGGCCCCAGCTGTTCTTCCTCCCCACTCATATCACTCTCCAAAGGCAGCTGCCTCTCCAATGGCTGGGAAATGTCGGACGGCCCTGGCTCTATCTCTGCGTCCGACGCAGAGCATCCATCAGAGCCTTCCCCAGACTCCAGAGCTGGCCCAAGTTCCTCCCCAACCTCCTCATCGTCCAAGTCTGCCGCCAGCTCAGCTGGCAGCTGGAGGGCCACAACATAGACTCTTCATACAATGAAAACCCATGGGGTGTGCCGAAATCGACCTCACCTGTGATTTTAGCAGCGTACCAGATCCCATCCTGGTGTCTTGCCAGGCAGGCTGACCCCACAGCTAGACAACTGAGGTCAGGCTCTTCGAAGGGATGCAGTTCCTCAATGGATACCACCTGCCCGTGGGAAAACCTGCCATGAAGACCACGAAGGGAGAGTCCATTGTAAGTGCTTGGGTTTCAAAATAGTGTAGCTTTATACAGGAAGTCCTCAACCTACGACCAGACTCTGTAGCAAAAATTGCAGGTTATGACAGACTTCCCTGGCGGCACACATGACCCAGATTTGAAGAACTGATGGATGTCCATTCCGCGCTTCCTCGGACAATTGGGCTGCACTTATGGCCACTGGCAGTGTCCCGGACATGATCAAAATTTGGACGCTTGGAAATTGATTCGTAATAATGACGGTCGTAGCCGTCCCAAGTCACATGACCACCTTTTGCGACCTTCTGACAAGCAAAATCAATGGGGGAAACCAGACTCACTTAACAACCGGGTAACTGACTTAATAACTGCAGTGATTCACTTAACGATTGTGGCAAGAAAGGATGTAAAATGGAGCAAAATTCACTTAGCAACCCTTTTTGCTTGGCAAAAGGAATGTGGGGCTCCACTGTGGTCATAAATCGAGGACTATCTATACAGAGATTCCCCAAGCAGGAAAAGAGCAATCTTATCAGGTAGATTCTGCCCACAGGATGTGTCCTGCATAATGAAAGAAGTGCTTTTTGGACATATCGGGGTATCCCGCCCATACTACCAATCGATCTACTTACCGACAATTCTCCTTAAATCGACATTTGTCATCCAGGAAAAAGGGACATGGCTTCAAAGACTTGTGAGTTGGGTAGAGGTAGAGCACCCTAACTCCGGGCCCTCCATCTTCCAAACACTCACTACCTACAATCATAGCATTGTGATACTCCAGGGTTCCCCAGGAACTGTAATAAGGAGCTTTAACTTTCATCCCGCTGGCTATTTCTTCTTCTTCTTCTTCCTCCTCCTCCTCTTCTTCCTCTTCATCACCCGTCCCATCTCTGTCCTCTTGAGTCCTTAATGGACCATCCTCTTCCCCTATTTGCTCAATGGCTTCCTTAAAAGCAGCATATTCGTCATCAACGTTCGGGCGGCCAGCTTCTCCACCGCTCGGTTGAGGATGGGTGGAGGAAGGCGTGGAGAGCGCCTCGGGGTTCAAAACTGAACAAAGTTTGCTTTTTTTCACAGACAGGAGGCTGGCTTCAGTCAGTTCTATCAGCTGCCTTAAATCGGCCTGCAGCTGAATTAGATCGGCCTGTTGCGTTGGGTCCAGCCCAGCTCCCAAAGCCAAGTCCACCTGCTGCAGCTGAGCGCTGTAAGTCTGAATGGCTGTTTCCAAGCTCTCCTCGTCCATGGCTGCGCTCCTTTTCTCTTCAGAATTCAGCACATTTCCAGCTTAACAGGCAACAGAGAAATACGATATTCATCCAACAATAAGGGCCGCACACTTTAGTTCATGGCTGCGTCTGTTTTTTACTCATCTCACTGCAAGAAACGCAGATAATTGTCAGTAGGTTTATACTATTTTTCAGGAAAAGCTTTCACAATTCTGCACAATGGCACACGAGACATTTGAGCAGGTTACAAAGCAGTATTACAGGTAGTCCTCAACTTACGATCACAGTTAAGCTCAACATTTCTGTTGCAGAACAGGGCGGTTGTTAAATGAGTTGCCCGCATTTTACCTCTTTTGCCACATTTATTAAACAAATCCTGTGGTTGTTTAAGCAAATCTGGCTCCCCCCCCATTGGTTTTGCTCGTCAGAACCCAGATGGGAAGGTTACAAAGGGGAGGGGGGGGTCGTGTGACCCCAGGACAGTGCAACTGTCATGAATACATGCCAGTTGCCAAGCGCCCACGTGACCATGGGGATGCTGCAATGGTCATAAGTGTGAAAATTGTTCATAAGTCATTTTTTTCAGTGCTGTTGTAACTCCACTAAACAAATGATTGTAAGCCGAGGACTATCTGTATTGGGAAATTATGCCAATAGCATCTAAAAAGCACCAAGGTATTTATTCTATCTTCTAGAGTGGCAGAAAATTTGCAGTAAAACGTGCCTCCGTGTTATGACTCCGGAAACGAGTGCCTTTTCAGGAAAAATAGATCAAAATAGAGCCCAGCGCAGCAGACTAAAGCACTGTTATTAAGACCAGCTGCCTGCAATTACTGCAAGTTCAAATCTCACCAGGCTCAAGGTTGACTCAGCCTTCCATCCTTTCTAAGGTAGGTAAATTGAGGACCCAGTTTGTGGAGGCAATAAGCTGACTTTGTATAAATATACAAAAGGATAAAGGCTATTGCTTAACACATTGTAAGCCGCCCTGAGTCTCCGGAGAAGGGCGGCATATAAATCAAATTAAAAAAAAAAAAAAATTCAAAGGAAAACCAAGTCAGAAAACCAATTTTTTGTCAGGAACCAGGTTTGAAAATCCATGCGCTGTAGATAAAAACTGCAACCAAGCTATAGCCCCCCCCCCTCTTCTGCTGCTACCGGTGTTGCCTTTTACGAAAAAAGCCAATGAAATAATTCCTAATGCAAAGGGATTAAAATTTCCTGCAGTTGATATTTCTTAATTTCTTAATAAATTAATTTCTCCACTTTGATATTTAATGGCACAGGAGCAAAGGCAGGAAAGAAAAGGTGGCAACTCCAGGTAGTCTCTGGGCAGAGAAAAGAAATATGATTTTTTTTCTCCTCTTTTATTCTTCGGGGCTGGCAGCTTCTGCCTTATGAGCCAGGCAGAAATTCAACAGGAAAAGCCCCAGCCCAAAAAAAAAAAAGCAAAAAAAAAAGGATTTGCGAGCAGATAGGAAGAGGCCTCGTTCCAGGCTAAACTTTTCTTTCGTTTGCAGTTAATTCAGACGAAAAAGGAGCCCACCCAAGACAATGGACGCATCTCCCATCATCCACAGCCTTATGGGTCCCCTAGGAGGGAGGACGATTAGCGTTGTAGTCCTGGGCTTCTGGGCGGGGTCCGACTGGAGACCAGCGAAAGCTCCCCCGCGCCACCCAAGCGAGGGGAAAGCGATTCACCAGCACGACCTCCCCGCCTCAAAGACGGACGGCTTTTCCCTCTTTCAGTATCCAACGACCGCCATGACGGTTCTCGCAAACCGCCTCCGCTTCCGGTCTCCTACAGAGGCTTTCATGACCATAGAGAGAGGCCGACCGGAAACGGCTCGTCCTCCCTCTTCTTTCCTTCCCTGTCTATGGTTCACGCCCGGCGAATCCGACCGGAAGTGCCTTCGCCTACCTCTTCTTTCCTTCCCTGTTTATGATTCGCGCCCGGAGAATCCGACCGGAAATGGTTCCTTCTCCCTCTTGTTTTCCTTCTCTGTCTATGGTTCGTGCCCGGCGAAGCCGACCGGAACTAGGTCCGTCTACCTCTCCTTTCCTTCCTTGTCTATGGTTCGTGCCCGGCGAAGCCGACCGGAAGTGCCTCCGCCTACCTCTTCTTTCCTTCTCTGTCTATGGTTCGTGCCCGGCGAAGCTGACCGGAAATGGTTCCTTCTCCCTCTTGTTTTCCTTCTCTGTCTATGGTTCGTGCCCGGCGAAGCCGACCGGAACTAGGTCCGTCTACCTCTCCTTTCCTTCCTTGTCTATGGTTCGTGCCCGGCGAAGCCGACCGGAAGTGCCTCCGCCTACCTCTTCTTTCCTTCTCTGTCTATGGTTCGTGCCCGGCGAAGCTGACCGGAAATGGTTCCTTCTCCCTCTTGTTTTCCTTCTCTGTCTATGGTTCGTGCCCGGCGAAGCCGACCGGAAGTGGCTCCGCCTGCCTCTCCTTTCCTTCCTTGTCTATGGTTCGTGCCCGTCGATCCCAGAGAGGGCGCGGCGTGGAGGCGCAGAGGCTCATGGGGATCGTGGTCTTTTACAGGCAGCGGGACGCCGTCGGCGGGCGGGGACGGGACTCCATTTCCCAGGGTGCCTCGCACGACCGAGGAAGAAGCCCATAAGGAAGGAGAGCAGGAGCCGTTAACCGAATTCGCCCCCCCACCCACCTTGTAAAGTGCCCGGTAAGTCTCCTCCGGCGCCGCCCGCCTGCCTCGGGGACAGCGAAGGCCAAAACCTCAGCGGGAAAGGCGGGACTGCAATCCCCATCTCGCAAGTGGGTGGGCTGAAACCAGAAGCGCCTTGGGGGGGCAAAAGAAATCACTCTGTGCATGCTCAGGGGCCCTCTTGACACTTCCCAGAGGACGTTGAAAGGCCAATACATTTGCATGAATAATTAAGCAAATAGAAGGAAATTCCTTGCTGGGATATTATTATTATTATTATTATTATTATTATTATTATTATTATTATTATTATTACTATTATTATTACTATTATTGGGTTCCTATTGTGCAGGTAGTCCTCGACTTACGACCACAATTGAGCCCGGTGGGGGGGCCGTTCTGTTGCTAAGCGAGACATTGGTTAAGCCAGTTTTGCCCCCATTTTACGACCTTTCTTGCCCCAGCGCTTAAGTGCAGTTGTTAAGTGAGTAATGTGGTTGTTAAGCGAATCTCGCTTCCCTGTCGACTTTGCTGATCAGAAGGTCGCAAAAAGAGGATCAAACGATCCAGAGGACCCGGCAGTGGAAAAAGGGTAGCTGCTGCCACCTGTTGTATATACTTCGATGGGTACAGAACTCTGGTTGTATATACAAACGTCTCCCTCGAGTTGCATTGCACACTTAGTGGAAGGGTCCATGTAGTTTCCTTGAAAGCAATGTGGAATTTTTTCTAGTGTGAAAAAGGTAGGTGTCTTAAGGGCGAGGTTACAGGTCGTCCTTGATTTATGACCGTGGTTGGGACCAGAATTTCCATTGCACAAGGGAGGCAGTTGTTCAGTGAGATGCACCCAGTTTTACTACCTTTCCAAGTTAGGAGTTGTAAGTTACAATACCTGTACAACCATTTGTGCCTAGACCAAGTGGTTAAGGCACCAGAAATTGGGAAGCTTTGAGTTCTAGTCCTGCTATAGGAATGAAAGCTGCTGAATGACTTTGGGCCAATTCAACCAGGAGACTGTGAGTTCTAGTTCTGCCTTAGATATGAAAGCCAGCTGGATGACTTTGGGCCAATCTCCAGGAGACTGAGTTCTAGTTCTGCATGAGACATGAAAGCCAACTGGGTGACTTTGGTCCAATCCCCAGGAGACTGTGAGTTCTAGTTCTGCCTTAGACATGAAAACCAGCAGGGTGTCTTTGGGCCAATCCCCAGGAGACTGAGTTCTAGTTCTGCCTTAGATATGAAAGCTGGCTGGATGACTTTGGGCCAATCCCCAGGAGACCGTGAGTTCTAGTTCTGCATGAGACATGAAAGCCAACTGGGTGACTTTGGTCCAATCCCCAGGAGACTGTGAGTTCTAGTTCTGCCTTAGACATGAAAACCAGCAGGGTGTCTTTGGGCCAATCCCCAGGAGACTGTGAGTTCTAGTTCTGCCTTAGATATGAAAGCTGGCTGGATGACTTTGGGCCAATCCCCAGGAGACTGTGAGTTCTAGTTCTGCCTTAGACATGAAAGCCAACTGGGTGACTTTGGGCCTATCACCAGGAGACGGTGAGTTCTAGTTCTGCATGAGACATGAAAGCCAACTGGGTGACTTTGAGTCAATCCCCAGGAGATTGCAAGTTCTAGTCCCACTTTAGGCATGAAAGCCAGCTGCTGACTCTGAGCCAGTCGCTCACTCTCTCAGCCCTACCTCACAGGGTCATTGTCAGTAAAATAGGAGGAAGGTGTGTGTTGGGATATGTTTGCTGCCTTGAGTTAAATAATGAAGGTGGGATACAAATAAGTAAATAAATATAAAAGGAGCATAATGCTAGGCTCGCACAGTTTCATCATTTTAGAAAATCTTGGGAAAATAACCATGGTATCAATTGATGAACCTCAAACAAGTCTCCGTTTCTTTTCATTAACGAGGGAAATTCCTGCCTGAATTTGGACCAGGAAGCAGTATCAAACTTTTGGCCAACTCAATGTTGTTGTCTTTGTTTACAGGAGCACAATGTACACACTGCTTTCCGGCCTTTACAAGTATATGTTCCGGCGAGATGAATACTGCATCTTAATCCTGGGATTGGACAATGCTGGAAAAACGGTGTGTATCTAGGCTTGTTCATAGAAACGGGAAAAATCTTCACCCCCTCTCTGTGCTTCTATTGGTTTATTCCTAGTCACAAAGTAGAAACTTCCAACTCCTGGATGGGATAAATTTCACCCATCTCTAATTTCATTAGTGTGGTGTACCTTCACCTGCAGGTAAAGAGGCTGTCAACTCAGGGCCTCCTCAAATGAAAATTTTACAATAATAATAAAAAAAACTGTTTAAATTGCCAAGACTTCATGAGATTGACTGCGTGCAAAGACAGCGTCTGCATTTCCTGTGTTGGATGAGGAGAGCACATCTTTCTCCTTCTGTCCTGACCGCTTTTTACAGAGGCACAATTGAGAGCGTTTTAACAAACTGCATCCCTGTTTGGTTTGGTAGCAGCAGTGCCTCAGAGAGAAGGTCCATAGAGAGAGTGATGAGGACAGCAGATGGAAAGTCCATACAGAGAGTGGTGAGGACAGCGGAGAAGATTACAGGAAGTTTGCTTCCCGTTATTCAGGATGCTGCTTATAAGAGCTATGCACTTAGAGCTTGAAGCATTGTTAGAGACTCCATACACCCATTTTACGGTGTGTTTCTGCTGCTCACCTCTGGGAGGAGGTTTCCAAGTATTTCTAGCAGGACTACCAGATTCTGTAACAGCTTTGTTCCCTAAGTCATCCGTCTGGTAAATTCATAATAGTCCCTCAATAAATGGTTGTAACTCCATTATAGCAAAAAAAGATGCTGAACATATAATTAAAAATAATGTTCTCAGAGAATCAATTAAATATCAAAAATATTCCAGACGGGCAGTCCTCTATGACTGTTCACTTAAAAATGGTTCGAATTAACAATGGCCTCCAAAAAAAATCAGTTATGGATTCAATTTAAACTTACAACTGAATTGTGATCGCAATTCAAGCCCTGGGCAACCACCTCACAATTTCAGACAAGTGATCACAATTTGTGACATTTCCCCCCCACTTTGTAGTAAAAACTACCACTGGTTTAGCAAGATTCACATTTATGACCATGGTGGCTTGACTTATGACCGTCGTAATATTTGGTTCAGTCACATAAGGACTCAACTCACAACTGCAACGACTTAAATTCCGGTCCCAATTGTGGTTCTAAGTCAAGGACTCCTTATAAGCAGAGATGGGCTTCACATAATTTTAACAAACCGGTTTGCCTAGTGCACAACCGAAAATGTGAGCGTGCCGCTTCAAACATACGGCGATTTCATGTGCACAGCTTCCAGCATACCTTCTCGGGCAGCTGCGGAGAGTAGAGCGGGCGAGGCGCGGAAATCAGCTGGGCTGTTTGGGCAGGGCGAGCGAGCCAGAGAGTGAGATATATAGGACGGGATAGCACCGGGGCGGGGGGGGGGGCAGGCCCAGCCGGTGGTCGGAATTACCGGTATGGGCGAACCGGTGTGAACCGGCAGCAGCCCACCTCTGCCCATAAGGGATCTACTACTCATTCTAAAACAAATTTGGGGAAAGGAGTGTTGTGACCCCGGCCCCGGAGGCTGATTTATCTTCGCATGCTGATTCGGAGGATGATATGGAGGAAGAGGAAGCTGTCACGAGCTATGTGCCGGAGGGGCCGTCTTCACTGGTGAGTCAGCAAGAACTGACAGTTGCTGACATGCCTCTGGACCCCAGCCAAATTGAGGAGGAAACAGAGGCCAGTAACGACGAGGGGGAGCCCCTATTGGATGCCAGAGAGACGTAGGAGACATCGTAGAGAACAGCTATTGCCACGCCCTAAGAGGTGTGGTCAGGAGACGTAGGGCCACACCCAAAAAGTATAAAAGGGGTGGGACTGGGCTGGAAAGGCGTGGTGAACAATTTGTTGGCGTTTTGGATGCAGTGGAGTTACAACTGTTAGTTTGGAGTTTTTGACAAGAGTCTGCATTCCTGCATTAGCCTGCTGGCTGTCTGCCAAGACCTTTGGAACATTGCCCGGTAACTATTGGACTTTGGAAGAGAACTATTTATTAAAGGGCCAGCTTCAGTCTCTCTAACCTGCATTTGTTACTGCTGTTTGTTACTATTTGAATCTCTGCAAGGCCACTCGTAGGAGGGGACAGAACAAGGATCATTAAACAGATCCATCTCAAAGGCCAGTAGTTTTTCAGTAGTTTCAAAAGAAACGGTTAACAAATCGTTCTGAGACAGCAAGGTTCTTTTTGCTTAATCTCCAGATCCAGAATTTGCATGAATTTTTGTCTCGTTTCCGTAGCAACCAACGGATATAAACAACTCAGGTTTTCCTCTACGTTTCCTTTCCTTTCTTTTCTTCCTCAGACTTTTCTTGAACAGACAAAAACGAGATTCAACAAGGCCTACAAAGGAATGAGTTTATCCAAAATCACAACCACGGTCGGCTTGAACAGTAAGTTGACCTCGATAGCTGAAGAGCGGGAGAGTACGAGTGGGGGACATTTGCCTTGGATTGGCGTTACCCAAAACTATGAGGGTCACCCAACAGATGCTGAGGAGACCAAAAATTAACCCCATCAATTTTCATTCAGAGGAATCTCTGAGCTTGGTTGTTTTCTTGTAGACGTTTCATGACCCAACTTGGTAACATCATCAGTGCTAAAGGGGGGTAGGGTGTGTGGAGTGGAAGAGGAGGACGACTCTGGGATCCTTGGTGCTCTCTGAGCTTGGTTGTTTTCTTGCAGACGTTTCATGACCCAACTAGGTAATATTATCAGTGCTAGAAGGGAGTAGGGTTTGCTCTCTGTCCTGATTTTATGATGGGGTTTTTAAAATTTGAAATTGGTTTTAAATTGAGATGTTTAAATTATGGGCCAAATTATTTAATTATTTTAAAACTATTTTAATTTTCGTGTACAAATGTTTTATTCTTGGCTGTTCACCGCCCTGAGTCCGAAAGGAGAAGGGCGGTATAGAAATTTTTTTTTAATAATAATAATAATAATAATAATAATAATAATAATATATACAAGTGGCTTTTCCTGTCAGTGTTGCTGGGAGTGTTCTTCATGGTTCCTTGACGAGGCCATGGTTCACTGTTTGATTGTTTGTCTGAATGTGATAGTTCCTTGATCGTCCCAACAACGCTGACAAGGCAAGCCATTTCTATGCAGGTAGTCCTCGACCTACGACCACCATTGAGTCCAACACTTCTCTCGCTGAGCGAGACGGTTGCTTAGTGAGTTTTACTCCATTTTATGAACTTTCTTGCCACAGCTAATAAGTTAGTAAACATGGTTGTTAAGTAAATCTGGCTTCTCCATTGACTTCGCTTGTCAGACGGTCGCAAAAGGGGACGACGTGACCCCGGGACGCTGCAACCGTCATAAATATGAGCCGGTCGCCAAGCTTCTGAATTTTAATTTCACATTTTTATTGAGGTATAGGATAAAATAAATGATGTCACCGAGGCTTACTGAATCATTACAATACACAGTTAGTCCCAAACAAACCTATTTTATTGTAACAGCTGAGAATTACGTTCATTCCCAGCTGAGTCCCAATTAGTTGCAAAACAAGTCCTTCGGGATAATCACCAACCTTTATCTTTTTTGACACCCTGCCAAAGGCCTTACTTGGCAAAGCCCCACGAAGTTCAGAAACAAGAGATGCTGACTGGAAACAGAGTTAGCAACGTTGCTTTCCTGCAAAAGGCCCAAGTGCCTTTGTTTCTCTTTTAAGCCTGATGGGAGAGGCCAATCATCTCCTGGCCTTACTTCCGAGTCGTCCCTTTTGCTTTAGCTGCTCTTGCCTTCTGGCAGCTCTGCGCATGCATGCACTAGAAACAGGCTCCTCCTGTCCCTCTGCCTCTCTGCTGTCCGACTCTGGGGGCTCCAGAGTCCGTGCATCACTCCCAGATGGCCCTGGCCCCAGCTCTGCGTCTGTATCTGTATATCCAAAGCTCTTTAGCCTTTCTGTTGCAGGCTTCTGTTTTAGACTTGAGTCGATCCCCAAAGAAGTTAAATTCGACGCAATGCAGAAAAATGTGCACACTTTGAATTGTCCCCTTGTGTCTCCTAGTTGGCACTATAGATGTTGGCAAATCTCGGCTGATGTTTTGGGACCTCGGAGGACAGGACGAGCTTCAGTCTCTTTGGGACAAGGTAGGGTGGATAGATACGACTACAGAATTACACGGTCCTTAAACAAATCAACGGTGCATTACGGACGCAGTTTTGCTGAAACCGGACGTAAATACCAGTTTTGGGTTAAAAACATCATAAAACATTTTCGTGTGACTGCCGGACGCTGCAAAGGGTAGTAACTGTGATCCGGTTGCTGAGTTCAGTCACATGACCACGGTGGGAGGGGCAGAACCGTTAGAACTTTGAATCCAAATCCAGGTAGGTCCGTCAGAACTTCAGATCGTCACTAAACAACCGGTTGCAAGTCAAGGATAGGGTTTCCTTTGAGGCTGTTGGAATATTTACTTTTTCCAGTCTGTTAGCTGTTGTGATATTCTCCAGATATGTTGGCATAGCTTAGTTCGATATTAACTACATTGATAAGTCTAAGTTATTAGTTAAATGTATGAAGTGGTGTTAAGGATATTGGTGTTGTGTTACCAACCAGCAGAGTAAATGCACAAGGAAACGTTGCTGAGAGCAATGAATAAGAGATATGCAAACTGGTTTATCAAAAGCTTACTTTATAGTAGAAAAACAGTCTCATAGTCTTTAAACAAATTCCAAGTCTTTGCCAGTTAAATCAGTCCAGTAGTTACAGAATCTTCTTACTCAACAAACATTAGTTGGTTAGAATAACAAACTCACTCTGGTTCACAAACCACGATGGTAGCAGATCCATCAAACGATGATTAGCAGATAGCAACTCCTCTCAATGGTAGCTTATCATAGCAGCTTCATCATCAAACTGAATACGTTACAGTACCTTGCTTAAATACTCTCACAACCAGTCATTACCTAATTACAGCATGACTCAGCATTAAAGTCACATAATACATTTACAGATTAAAGTTACAGTACACTTATATTGCCTGGACAACTGTTAGGCTCAAACCATATCCTAACAAGTAGTATAGGGTCTCCTGTTTGAGCAGTGGGTTGGACTAGAAGACCTCCAAGGTCCCTTCCAGCTTTGTTCTGATTAATTTTACTGTTCCTTCTTTGATTCCTTGCCATATTTCAGTGGTTATTCCATATCGGTAATGTCTGGAGTGCTGATCCAACAATATTTTAATATTAGAGGTTCTTGTAAGTAGGGAATATCTTCTAAGGCAGGGGCATCCAATCTCGGCAACTTTAAGACCTGTGGACTTCAACTCCCAGAATTCCTTGGGTAGCATGGGGAATTCTGGAAGTTGAAGTTCATAAGTCTTGAAGTTGTCAGGGTTGGACACCCCTGTTCTAAGGTATCTTGAATGTTGATCGCTCTACTCTTTCCTTGAATATTCTTCTTTCCTCTCCCCTGCCCTCCCCTCTCATCTCCTCCCCCTTCTCTCTCTCTCTCTCTTTCTTCCTTGAATATGTCTGTCTCTCCCCTCCCCTCTCCCCTCGTCTCCCCCTCCTCTCTTTCGTCGGGGAATTCTGGGAGTAGAAGTCCACATACGACTTCAGTGGCCGATGTTGGGAAACAATGCTGTGGAGAAAAATCCCCTTCCCTTCCCTCACCCCTCCCCTCCTCTCTCCCCCTTCTCCTCACTTCTCTCTACCTCTTTCTTTCTCTCTCTGTCTCCCCCCTCACTTCTCACTAGTTGGGGAATTCTGGGAGTTGAAGTCCATATGACTTCAGTGGCCGATGTTGAGAAACAAGGCTGTGGAAAAAAATCTGAGAAATGAATAATCCTCTTCTCTTCTCTTCTCTTCTCTTCTCTTCTCTTCTCTTCTCTTCTCTTCTCTTCTCTTCCCTTCCCTTCCCTTCCCTTCCCTTCCCTTCCCTTCCCTTCCCTTCCCTTCCCTTCCCTTCCCTTCCCCTCCCCTCCCCACTTCTCTGTGTCTCTCTCTTTCTCTCTCCTCTCTCCCCCTCACTTCTCGCTAGTTGGGGAATTCTGGGAGTTGAAGTCCACATGACTTCAGTGGCCGATGTTGAGAAACAAGGCTGTGGAAAAAAATCTGAGAAATGAATAATCCTCTTCTCTTCTCTTCTCTTCTCTTCTCTTCTCTTCTCTTCTCTTCTCTTCTCTTCTCTTCTCTTCTCTTCTCTTCTCTTCTCTTCCCTTCCCTTCCCTTCCCTTCCCTTCCCTTCCCTTCCCTTCCCCTCCCCTCCCCACTTCTCTGTGTCTCTCTCTTTCTCTCTCCTCTCTCCCCCTCACTTCTCGCTAGTTGGGGAATTCTGGGAGTTGAAGTCCACATGACTTCAGTGGCCGATGTTGAGAAACAAGGCTGTGGAAAATAATCTCTTTTCCTCTCCCTCTGTCCGTCCGTCCGTCCGTCTATGCTGCCCGGCTTGCCGAGATGGATTCTGGGCATCTTATATTCATGCCATTAAAATTCCATCTATAACATTAAAAGGATCAGCAAGAACCATACGTTCAAAATTCAGCACACATTTAATTTTCAACATTCAAAATGTTACTCTTTGCGGTATTGCTTTGGGGTTTTATTATATTTGCAATGAGACCAATTTTAACGTAGGTTTGCACTGAAGGATAGAGCAGCAGCGTATAGAAACATTACCAGGCAGCACTGGCAAAGTCCAAAAGGAACTTTCTAGAAGTGGGAAGAGTTGTAATGTAAAGCGTGAAAACTTAAAGCTCCCTTAACGGACTTCAGTTTCTTTTTTGCTTTTTTTATGTGGCCTCAGTATTACGCAGAATCCCATGGGGTCATTTACATTATCGATTCCACCGATGAGGAAAGGCTGTCAGAATCCAAGCGAGCTTTTGGTAAGTGTGTGTGTGTGTGTGTGTGTGAGCAAGAAATCCAGATATTTGGAGTTTGACACGTCTCCAGGGGTTACTGGAGTTTCCTCCCTGCAGTGAGGGAATTCAGTTGCACAAATTGCCAACAGCAATTTGGTGTAGTGGTTAAGATATTGGCCGAAAACAAGGAGACAGGGAGTTCTAGTCCCGCCTCAGGCATGAAAGCTGGCTGGGTGACTTTGGGCCAATCCCCAGGAGACGGTGAGTTCTAGTCCCGCTTTAGGCATGAAAGCCAGCTGGGTGACTTTGGGCCAATCCCCAGGAGACGGTGAGTTCTAGTCCCGCTTTAGGCATGAAAGCCAGCTGGGTGACTTTGAGCCAATCCCCAGGAGATGGTGAGTTCTAGTCCCGCCTTAGGCATGAAAGCCGGCTGGGTGACTTTGGGCCAATCCCCAGGAGACGGTGAGTTCTAGTCCCGCTTTAGGCATGAAAGCCGGCTGGGTGACTTTGGGCCAATCCCCAGGAGACGGTGAGTTCTAGTCCCGCTTTAGGCATGAAAGCCGGCTGGGTGACTTTGAGCCAATCCCCAGGAGATGGTGAGTTCTAGTCCCGCTTTAGGCATGAAAGCCGGCTGGGTGACTTTGGGCCAATCCCCAGGAGACGGTGAGTTCTAGTCCCGCTTTAGGCATGAAAGCCAGCTGGGTGACTTTGAGCCAATCCCCAGGAGACGGTGAGTTCTAGTCCCGCCTTAGGCATGAAAGCCGTCTGGGTGACTTTGGGCCAATCCCCAGGAGACGGTGAGTTCTAGTCCCGCTTTAGGCATGAAAGCCGGCTGGGTGACTTTGGGCCAATCACCAGGAGACGGTGAGTTCTAGTCCCGCTTTAGGCATGAAAGCCGGCTGGGTGACTTTGAGCCAATCCCCAGGAGATGGTGAGTTCTAGTCCCGCTTTAGGCATGAAAGCCGGCTGGGTGACTTTGGGCCAATCCCCAGGAGACGGTGAGTTCTAGTCCCGCTTTAGGCATGAAAGCCAGCTGGGTGACTTTGAGCCAATCCCCAGGAGACGGTGAGTTCTAGTCCCGCCTTAGGCATGAAAGCCGGCTGGGTGACTTTGGGCCAATCCCCAGGAGACGGTGAGTTCTAGTCCCGCTTTAGGCATGAAAGCCGGCTGGGTGACTTTGGGCCAATCCCCAGGAGACGGTGAGTTCTAGTCCCGCCTTAGGCATGAAAGCCGGCTGGGTGACTTTGAGCCAATCCCCAGGAGACGGTGAGTTCTAGTCCCGCTTTAGGCATGAAAGCCGGCCGGGTGACTTTGGGCCAATCCCCAGGAGATGGTGAGTTCTAGTCCCGCCTTAGGCATGAAAGCCGGCTGGGTGACTTTGGGCCAATCCCCAGGAGACTGTGAGTTCTAGTCCCGCCTTAGGCATGAAAGCTGCCTGGGTGACTTTCAGCCTATCACCAGGAGACGGTGAGTTCTAGTCCTGGTTTAGCCCTGAAAGTCAGCTGGGTGGCCCAGTCCCTCTCTCTCTCTCAGCTCAGTCCAACTCACAGGATTGTTGTTGTGGGGAAAATAGGTGGCGGAAGAGGTACTATGTCTGTCCTCTGCCTTGACTCAACTTATATAGTGATAAAGGTGGGATCAAACTCGAATCAATAAATACGCATGCCATCTTATTTTGAAATTATTGAAGCCTTATTTTCAGAACATATTTTGACAAACCTAGCCTGGATTTTTGATCTCTCTCTCTCTCTCTTTTGCTCCTTTACAGAAAAGATGATAACCAATGAAGTTCTGGAAGGTGTCCCTTTGTTGGTTCTCGCTAACAAACAAGATATAGAGGTGTGGTTTTTTTTAAAAAATATTATTTTCTAAAAGATACCTGTATTTATTTTAATAGATCCAGATTGCTTTTCTGTCCACAAAACAAGGAGAGCATCATTGAAAGATGGATGGATATGTGTGTGCATAATTATCACATACACCTCTTTATTTTTTAAAATTATATGCCCCCCATCTCTCTGTAAAGTGACTGGATGGCTCTGTAATTTTTTTTCAGGGGTGAAATCTACTTATCTTCCTTACCGGTTCGGAAGCGCATGTGCAGAATTTTAAAAAAACATTACTTCCTGGTTAAAACCAGGAAGTAATGACACCCGGGCGGGTGGGAGGAGCTCTGCCATCGCTACCAGATCGCCGAACCAACGGTCAAGATCGCTACCGGATCGGACGATCCGGTCTGATCTGGGAGCATTTCACCCCTGGTTTTTTGTTTTTTAAAACCCAGAAGTAATTATTACACAAATGAAAAAGTTGAAACAGAAGCCAAACAGCTTTCCATTGAATGAACTAAGGCAGTGATGGCTAACCTTTTTGCCGTCGCGTGCCAAAAGCAGGGGGAGCATGGGGGGGGGTCACATACCCGCGTGCCCACACCCATAATTCAATGGCCCCCTACGCTCCACCCCCCACGCGACCCTTGCTTTTGGCACGCGACAGCAAAAAGATTACTGGTGGGCCTGGTAGGCCTGTTTTTTGCCCTCCCCAGGCTCCAGAGGCATTCTTGGAGCCTGGGGAGGGTGAAAACAGCCTTCCCCACCCGCCCTGGAGCCCCTCCAGAGGCCGGAAACAGCCCGTTTCCCGATGTATGGTGGGCTCGGAAGGCCCGAAAATCAGCTAGCTGGCGTGCACATGCACACTGGAGCTCAGCTAGGACAACACTCGTGTGCCCACAGATATGGCTCCGTGTGCCACGTGTGGCACACATGCCATAGGTTCGCCATCTTGGAACTAAGGTAACCTCGTTTTTCTGGTGGTTTTCTTAAAATATTGATACATAGTCTGTGATTTTTTAATGTAGAAATCACCGTAGACACTTCCCTGTTTTACAATAGTCATGGATTTTGCATTACGTCCCAATGTTTCTGTGGATACACATTGATCAAATTTCGATCTAGGGCAGGGGTGTCCAACTTTGGCAACTTTAAGCCTTGGCGGACTTCAACTCCCAGAATTCCTCAGCCAGTTTTGCAAAGCTGGCTGGGGAATTCTGAAAGTTGAAGTCCGCTAAGGCTTAAAGTTGTCAAGGTTGGACACCCCTGATCTAGGGGAAGACGCAACAAAAAAGCAGATTTTTTTGCAGCCTTGAATGCCATCGGGTGTACAGGTAAATCTTTGACTTAACGACCACAATTGAGGCCGGAGACTTAGGTCGTTGAAGGAAGCGGTCATTCAGTGAGCTGCTTCCCTCAACGACCACAACACTTCCAGTTGCAATCGTTGCCAGTTATCTCCTGGGACGTTAAGCAGGCAGAAGAAACGAGAGAGACTGGAGTGACTCGAAGAGGCTGGCTGAAAAACATCCCTCTCACAACCCAAGCAGGATTTGGGCAACCATCTCTGTCAGCTGCAAGAAGCCAGGAACCAGAATGGTTCAAATGAGTACAAGTTTATGCCGTGGTATCTCTCAACAAGAATCTACTAAACCAGGTGTGTCAAACTCAAGGCCTGGGGGCCAGATCCAGTCCCTGGGGTGTTTAGATATGGCCCGTGGGCCGCCCTGGAAAGAGCAAAGGAACGGCCCCAGTAGTGGGTTCCACTTACCTTCGCTACCGGTTCAGGAGTGCGTGCGTGCATGTGCTTGCTTCACTCGCGCACAGTGCTTCTGCATGTGCACAGAGCGTCTGTGATGTCGTCCGGGTGCGTGGGCAGAGCCTCCCGGCCCCGCCACTAGTGTTTCGCCCGAACCGGTAGAAACTCAACACTGACTGACCCACGGTGGTTCTGCTAGCGAAACAGAGCACGTGGCCCTCCGGAGCTCCGTTTTCACCGGCAGAGGGTTGCAGGAGGCTGTCGCAGTTGCCCTCCGGAGCTCCATTTTTCACCAGCAGAGGGTTGCAGGAGGCCATCGCAGCCGAAAACGGAGCTCTGGAGCCTGTTTTCGCTGGCAGAGTGCTTGGGTCACCACAAGCGCCCCCGACACAAGTGATGTCGAGCTGACTACACCCACCCTGGCCACGCCTACCCACCCACCACCACCCTGAGGTCAAACACAACCTTCATGCGGTCCTCAATGAAATCGAGTTTGACACCCCTGTACTAAACGGTCAAAGCAAATTGGCGGTTGGTAAGAGTCGACGGAATTGATCGTGTGACGTGTTAGTACCCCTTTACAATCGGTGGTATTCAGCTGGTTTTATCCGGTTCGGGCGAACCGCTAGGGGCGACTGCGGGATGCCCCGCCCATCCGCGCAGACAACATGACGTCCCATTTTTCCATGTTTTTGAGGCTCTGCATGCGCAGAAGGCCTTGCGCAGGCACGGAAGATGCGCGCGCGCAGATTTGCGAACCGGTAGGGAAAGTAAGTGAATCCCTCCAACCAGGCTGGAGAATTCTGGGAGTTGAAGTCCACAAGTCTTAAAGCTGCCAAGTTTGAAGACCTCTGCCATAGACATTTGCTGAAAAGGACTGTGTTGTCAACAGGAGCCAGGCAGTGTCATATCCCTCCCCTTCTGTTGGGAATAACCCAGGAGGCCTCTTTGACCCCTCTTTCAAACCCTACGCCCTCTCTGTCCAGAGTGCGAACGTGGCCGTGTTGAAAAGACGGTGGGAAGTTGCTGTTTTGAATTTTACGCGCCTTTTACTGTGCCCTTAACAGCTGCAGTAGCAGGTGCTGTCCCCCAGAGGGCGCCAGCCATTTGTTGAAAATGAACATTTACCGTTTCATGCCACAGAGGGCCCTTTGGCCGTTGCGTCTACCTCTTCTCACACTCTTGCATCATGCCAGGTCCAAAGAGTGCATTCTTTTGGGTACCGCCCAACCGAACGTGAAGAAAGGAAGAAGGCATTGCCGTTTCCAAATATTTAAACATCAGAAACCTCATTCGAAGAGACTCAGGATGTTTGCGTCGGTAGCGCCTCCCGACTCAAGACGAGGCATCGAGTCTGTTGGCTTGCACAACGCAGAAGCCACCTCGCTCACCTTATGTGTTAAGACTGTGGTCTGTTCGAAGTGTTTTAAGCACAAAAATTGCCCCCATGCGAACTCTAGTAATTTCTTTTCAATTTATCTGGAAAAGTCCGCAGGATTACAAAAACTACCCAGGAGATGGGTCAAAACATTTTCGTGTTCTGTACAGGTAGTCTTCGACTTACGAACATTTATTTATTTATTTATTTATTATTTATTTTTTTGTTTGATTTATATGCCGCCCTTCTCCGGAGACTCAGGGCGGCTTACAATGCGTTAAGCAATAACCTTCATCCTTTTGTATATTTATACAAAGTCAGCTTATTGCCCCCACAAACTGGGTCCTCATTTCACCTACCTTAGAAAGGATGGAAGGCTGAGTCAACCTTGAGCCTGGTGAGAATTGAACTCGCAGTAATTGCAGGCAGCTGGCAGCTAAATACTACTTTAACAGTAGTTTGGTCCACTGCGCTACCAGTCTCTTATTTAGCGAACAAAGTTACAGTGACATTTGGAAACGGGGACTTACGACCGGTCCTCGTGCTTACGACCACCTTAGCATCCCTAAGGTCACATGATCAAAATTCATGGCGCTTAGCAAACGGCGTGTACAGGTAGTTCATTTAGTGACCATTCAGTGTTGCAAAGGCATTGAAAAAAAATGACTTATGACTGCTTTTTACAATTAAGGTGGTTGCAGCATCCCCATCTCTCTCTCTCTCTCTCTCTCTGTCCTGGAACGCAAGCCAAAAATGTCTTTTTCAGCAAATATCTATGGGGATTCTCAGTCATCCAGGCCGTGGTTGTCCCAAAGGTGCTTTCTCAAAAGGCAAACTGGACTTTTTTGGGTTTTTTCCCTTGAAAACGTTTCGCTTCTCATCCAAGAAGCTTCTTCAGTTCTGACCGAATGGTGGAGAATGCAAGGATTTACTGTATATTCTTTGCAGTCATCTGGTCGTTAGTACTCTCTCTGAGAGTCGTTGAGGGCCACTCGGAGGTTTATATGAGCCGTGGTGGCGCAGTGGTTAGAAGGCAGTACTGCAGGCTATTTCTGCTGCCTGCCGGCTGCCTGCAATTCGACAGTTCGAGTCTCACTAGGCTCAAGGTTGACTCGGCTTTCCATCCTTCCGGATAAAATGAGGACCCAGATTGTTGGGGGCAAGAGGCTGGCTCTGTAAACCGCTTAGAGAGGGCTGTAAAGCACTGGGAAGCGGTATATAAGTTTAAATGCTATTGCTATCTATGCCCTCAGGCTCACCTGAGTAGTGCAAATGGGTGTGGAATCTTCTTAGACCTGCTGAAAGGACTGTGTTGTGGACAGGGGATATGGGGGGTGGCATCCCTCCCCCTCTGTTGAGAGGGGGCTGCTTGACCTTAACGTAAATGGCCTCTTTGACCCCCATTCTGGACAGAGAGGACCGCTGGTTTGAGGGAGAGGGATAAAGCACAATCCTTTCAGCAGTTCCAACAAGGTTACACACCCATCCGCACCCTGATTCAGTGACTCCGGAGGGCACAGACAGACCTCCAAGCGGCCTCAATGACTCTCAGAGAGAGTACTAACGACCAGAGCACTGCAAAGAATGCACAGTAAAATCCTTCTAGTCCCTGCCATTCAATCAGAACCGAAGAAGCTTCTCGGATGAGAAGCGAAACATCTTCAAGGGGAAAAAAACCAAGGAAGTCCTGTCACCTCTTGAAAAAGCCCCTTTGCGTATATATTTTTTTTTTTAAAAAAAAACAAACGAGATTTTATTTCGAAATGCAACTGGAAGTGATCGTTGTCGGACCTTCAATTTTCTAATCTGGGCGTATTCCGAATTCCACCCGATGAGTAAAAACTGCTTTCGTGCCTTATTTATCATGCTTTAAATATTTGTGGCCTAATTCAGCATGAATGTTTTGGAAACAGAAGTCCGGTTACTAAAGAATTTCAGAGAAGCGTAACATTGCTTAAAAATGCCGTCTGGGCAGGGTCTTAGGAAACGCCGATGGCTTTCGAGTTCGGCTTGGCCCATGTTGCTGTTGTGTAAAACTTAACAAATTGTGAGTCAGTTCTTGTTCATGGTGACATTTCTAGATAAGAAGTTAATCCATTCTCCCTTTTCCGTGTGTTGTTGTTTTTTCCCCCCAGTGCTACTTATGACTTAATCCTGCCCTTTTCCCTCGCATTTTAATGTTTAAATAACAGGCAAACCCAAGAGTGGATTAAGATCCTTAGCAGATTAAAAATACAATATTCGGCTGGTCCTTGATTTACAACAGGTCGTCTAGTGACCATTTAAAAGTTACAACGGCACGGAGAAAGGGACTTACGGCCATTTTTCACACTTATGACCTTTGTGGCACACACACACACACACGTCATCCTGTGATCAAAATTCAGATGCTTGGCAACTCATACTTACGACGGTGGCTGTGTCCCCAGGTCCTGCCATCCCCTTTTGCGAAGTTAACAGGGTTAGCCAGATTCACTTAACGACCGGTTTAACCGACTTTATCAACTGCAGTGATTTCACTCGACAGCCGTGGCAAGAAAGGTCGTAAAACAGAGGCAAAACCCACTTAACCAATGTCTCCCTTAACCGCAGAAATGTTGGGCTCATGTCTGGTCGTAAGTCGAGGACTGCCCGTATTCATTTCGGGAAAGTTTTGCTTTCTGTTGCCGTTTCTTAGAAGTCAGGTCTGTTACTGAAAGCATCTTCTGAGTTGGCACTGAAACCTTGCAGTCATCTCCTCCTCCTCTGTTCTTGGCCTTGGCGTCAATAGTTTGTGCCAGTCTGGCATATATTTGCTTTTGGTTTCCATATCTCTCTGTTTCTTTGCTCCGTGCCAGGCTGTAACCTTATATTCAAAGCATAAGTAATTGTTTGAATGAAAGCCATTTAGCAGCGTGGAACATTTTGCGTCACGGCTCTTGAGTTTCGGTGCTTGAAAATTGTTTGCGGGGTTGAATAACCAGAAATAATGAAACAGATCCCAGCTTCAGAGTAACCGAAGCAGCGTGTAGATTAAATTAATGGCTCCACGTTAGGGTAAACGTGTCTTACTTTACCCAGAATGCGCTAAGTCTTGCAAAAATGTGCGAGGAGTCCTTGGTGCTCTCTGAGCTTGGCCGTCTTCTTGCAGAAGTTTCATTACCAAACCAGGTAACCTCAAGGCACTGATGATGTTATCTAGTTTGGTAAGGAAACGTCTGCAAGAAAACAACGAAGCTCAGAGAGCACCCAGGACTCCACTGTCATCATCATCATCGTCCTCCTCCTCCTCCTCCTTCCCGCCCGCAAACCCCACATCCTTCTAAGAACTGATGATGTTTGCTAGTTTAGTAATGAAACACCTGCAAGAACACAACAAAGGTCAGAGTGTCCACGGAGATTCTGAGTCCGTGATGGCGAACCTATGGCACGCGTGCCATAGGTGGCACACGGAGCCATGTTGCCTGGCACGCCAGCTCAGCTCCGTCAGCTGATTTTCGGCCCTTTTGGGGCCACCAGAAGAGGGCCTGGGAGGGGGGGGAAGGCGTGTTTTTTTTTTCTCCCTGGCTCCAGATCCTCTCTCTGCATCTGGGGAGGGTGAAAACAGCCTTCCCCACCCCCTCGGAGGCCCAAAACGGCCCATTACTCAACTTCCAGCCTCCGAGAGGGTGGGAACCATACCGGGCCATCGCGTGCCAGGAGTGGGGGGGGAAGGGGGGTCGCGCTCGCATGCGCGTGGCAGGGCACATAGAATTATGAGTGTGGGCACACACATGCGCAAACCTCCCCCGCCCCCCCTTCCTGGCACGCGATGGCAAAAAGGTTAGCCATCGCTGATCTAAATCATCCAGCTCACAGTTCTCCCAAAGGTGTTTTTTCAAGAGGCAACTGGACATCTTTTCTTGAAGACATTTCGCTTCTCATCCCAGAAGCATCTTCAGTTCTGACTGAATGGTGGAGGGTGGGGGGGAAGGATTTATATTCCTTGCAGTCGTCTGGTTGTTAGCGCTCTTTCCGAGGGTTGCTGAGGCCACTTGGAGGTTTCAGCAATTCCAAGAAGGCTCTATGCCCATTTGCACTCTGACTCAGGAGGCCCTGAGGGCACAGATAAACCTACCAAGTGGTGTCAATAATTCTCAGAGAGAGGACTAACGACCAGATGACTGCAAGGAATATAAATCCATCCATCCTTCACCATTCAGTCAGAACTGAAAATGCTCCTTGGATGAGAAGCGAACTGTCACCAAAGAAAAACGAAGTCCAGTTGCCTCTTGAAAAAGCACCTTTGGGACAACAAAGGTCAGAGAATACCAAGGACTCCATAATCCTCCTCCTTCTCCTCTCCACAAACCCCACTCCCTTCTAGCACTGACAATGTCACCTAGTTGGGTAATAAAACATCAGTAAGAGAACAACCAAGCTCAGAGAGACTAAGGACACTAAGTTTCCGAAAGATGCCCTAATTAATTCATGAGCCATGAGCCAAACTTCAAAAGAAATATAGTCATTTATTAGGAGCACCATTTCAGCAATATTTGGATTATTCGGCAATATTCGGCAGTTAGAACTAATCCCACGTAGATTTACGTTCCCCTATGATCCTGTATCTCCCCTCCTCCCTGGCCATGTCATAAATCACATTCTCCAATTAACCACTTTGGCTGGCTGTGAAACCCAACACCCTCCTACTGATTGCGGTAAGAAAGCATCTATGGAATGCAGCTTCAGTTATGGAAATCAATCAGCTCTATCAGTTCTCCCTCCCTCCTGCTCATGGCAACTTGAAAGCTTTGCAAGTTGACAGTTCAACCCTGAATTACAAAGTCCTCCTCCTCTTCCTTTTCCTCCTCTCCACCAACCCCACACCCTTCTAGCACTGATGATGTTACCTAGTTGGGTCATGAAACATCTGTAAGAAAACCACCAGGCTCAGAGAGCACCAAGAATCCCTCATTTCAACCTTTTGCTACAAATATTCCCCTTTATCGAAGTAAATGTGTAACCAAAAGCTCACAGGCCATATTCTCTGATACTATATGATATTAACCTGGCTAGTGCAGGGGGGAAAAGGGTGAAACAAAACAGCTTTCTCTCGGAAATGTTTTTATTTAAACTGGCAAAACGGTCCACCTCAAGGAAAATGGCCCCAGGACTTCCCCAATCCTGGAGGCACCCCTTGCTCTGCACATTCATTTAACGACTACATTCAGGAAGAGCAGGAGTGCGGGCATCATTAAATAAGGTTGTCTCACCCAACAGCCATCCCCACTTGGGACCATACAGGTAGTCCTCGACTTACGATCACACACTTGAGCCCTGCATTTCGAAACGTTTCTTAAGTGAGTTCTGCCCCGTTTTACGACTTTTCTTGCCGTCATTAAGTGGATCACTGAAATTGTTAAGCTACTCACACAGTTGTTAAGTGAATCTGGCTTCCCCACAGACTTTGTTTGTCAGAAGGTCGCAAAAGTTGATTACGCGACCCTCCCAGGGCACTGCAACCGTCATAAAGATGAGTCAGTCGCCAAGCGTCCGAATTTTGATCATATGATTATGCTGCAAAGACCGTAACTGTGAAAAGCATCACAAGTCACTTTTTTCAATCCTGTTGCCACTTCGAAGAGTCGCTGAATGAACTGTTGTAATTCGAGGAGTACCTGCAACGGGTAGGTTCCATTGCAATTGTAGGTCCAGGCCTACCTGATTCCACCCTCCATGTTTCCCAACAGGGAGCAGAGTGTCGGAGGTCTTCCAGGCTACCCATGCTTGAGCTATTCGTTCAGAGATATTTGTTGAATAGATTTGCCAAAACGTGTCTCTTCCATTTCTCTTCTTCCTCCAGAACTGCCTCTCGATCCCTGATATCAAGACGGCGTTCAGCGACTGCATCAACAAAATTGGGAAGAGGGACTGCTTGACCCAAAGTTGCTCGGCCCTCACTGGGTAGGTAGGGAGCCTGTCGGGGAAGGAGAACTGGAAAGGCCTGGTCAAAAGACGGTCAACTTTTAAAAATTTATTTATTTATTTATTTATTTAATTTGTATACCGCCCTTCTCCCAGAAGGGACTCAGGGCGGTGAACAGCCAAAATTAAAAAAACATACAAATGCAAAAGTTAAGATAATTAAAAGAATTAAATCATTGGCTACCCAATTTAAAACCCCAAATCCATAAAATTTAAAATCCCAATTAAAAACCATTTAGGCTAGGCCGGCTTGATGAAATAAAAACGTCTTCAGGGCTTTACGGAAGGTCCGGAGGTCCGGGATCAATCGTATTCCAGGAGGCAGCTCATTCCACAGGGCGGGTGCCCCCACAGAGAAGGCTCGCCCCCTGGGGGCCGCCAGCCGACATTGCCTGACCGACGGCACCCCAAGGAGGCCCTCTCTGTGAGAGCGTATTGACCGGTGGGAGGTTATCGGTAGCAGCAGGCGGTCTCGCAAATACCCTGGCCCTAAGCCATGGAGCGCTTTAAAGATGAGAACCAACACCTTAAAGCGCACCCGGAAGACCACCGGGAGCCAATGCAGCTCGCGCAGGTGAGGTGTTACGTGGGAGCGCCACGTCGCTCCCATAATCACCCGCGCGGCCGCATTCTGCACCAGCTGGAGCCTCCGGGTGCTCCTCGGGGAGCCCCATGTAGAGAGCGTTACAGTAGTCCAGGCGTGACGTAACCAAGGTATGAGTGACTGTGCACAAGGAGTCCCGATCCAGAAAGGGGCGCAACTGGCATATCAGGCGAACCTGATAAAAAGCCCCCCTGGCCACGGCCGTCACATGCTCTTCTAAAGACAGCTGTGTGTCCAGGACGCCCAAGTTGCGAGCCCTTAGGACCCCTACTCACTCTTAGGACCCCTACTTAAATAGTATTGGCCTGGATTCTGGCGGAACCTAGAATCCAAGAATGCAAATGTCAGGGCTCCGACGAATGCCCTAATTAACTCATGAGCCTTGAGCCAAGTTTCAAAAGAAATCCAGTTATTTATTAGGAGCAACATGTTGGCAACTTCCCAAGTGTAATCAACTGTGCTGCATGTAATTTACAGCTCAACTATGACCCTGTTCCCCCCCCTCCCCTCAGGCTGTGTCATAAATCACATTCTCCAACGAGGCACTTTCCCAGGCTGTGGAAACCACGCCTCACAAACTGGATCACAAATCTGAGATCCAACTTTTGAGGAAGGTATGTTTTGAGGTAACTTTTGAGGAAGAATGTGGCTGATGAATTGCTCCGTCAGTTCTCCCGCTTTTTCTACCCATGGCAACTCGAGCCTGGATAGCTCAGCAGACTAATGCGTTGTAATTTAACTCCAGCTGTCTGCAATTACTGCGAGTTCAAATCTCCCCAGGCTCAAGGTTGACTCAGCCTTCCATCCTTTCTAAGGTAGGTAAATTGAGGACCCAGTTTGTGGGGGCAATAAGCTGACTTTGTATAAATATACAAAAGGATGAAGGCTATTGCTTAACGCATTGTAAGCCGCCCTGAGTCTCCGGAGAAGGGCGGCATATAAGTCAAATTTTAAAAAAAGAAAAAAGAAAAAAAAAAGAAAGAAATTGGGGGCTCAATTGTAGTCGTAAGCCAAGGACTATCTAAAGTAACTCCGGGCAGCTGACCGGTAATTTGAATGTAGATATATGAAAACTGGACAGTCCCGTCAGGGAAGGCCAAATATCTAGAACCCCCTAAAAAAGGGTATTTTTATGGCGCAGGCCTCTCTTTTAAAAGAACAGGACCATCCCACACATGGTTTGGAAGTCATGCTGGACCCTTCTGTGTCTCTCTCCCCCTTTCCACAGGAAAGGCGTCAACGAAGGCATTGAGTGGATGGTCAGGTCGGTGGTGAGGAACATCCATCGTCCCCCGAGGCAGAAGGACATCACATAGGAGGGACCACCAAGCGATCGCCACGCCGGACACTTTGGCTCCTCCGCAGAGACTCTTCTCCTCCTTCCTCTTCGCCTCCCTTTCTCCTCCCCTCTCTCTGTCCCTCAAGGAGCTTCCTAGGACCCCCCTCCCCTCCCCTCTCCGAATCAAAGATACGTTTGTCCCCCTCTCGTGGCATCTTGCAAGGGATCTCAACCCCGAGAAGAACTGAGACGGGACCTCCTTTCCTTCCTGCTCTGCTGTCCCTCCTTGTGAGCATGGAGTGGGACGGGGTGATCGATATTCCAAATATGCATAGGATGCATGTCCCCTTCTCTCCTTTTTTTTTTTCTTTTTTCTTTTGCAAAGCTACAAATCTGTCGGAAATTGGAAGACTTCTGGGGCTACTTGATCAAACGGGGTCACGGAGCAGAGGGGGAACACCCCGTTTTCCAGGAATCTACTGGGCCGTCCCATAAATCTGATTTTGCACTTGTGTGGAAAAGGAGCGATCGGCAGTGAGGGGGCGGACTCTTTTTTTATAGCAAATGTACACCTCACAAATGCTGCAGAGAGAGAGAAAGAGAGAGAGAGAGAAAAAAAAGAGAGAAATCACTGCCGGAGCTCTCTGTCCTTTTTTCATCTCGGTTCCTATATTTGTGCACAGGATTAAAACTGATTTCTAGTCCTTTTCTGCTCCGTTGCCTTTCTCTATGGTGTGAGTAGAAAAAAAAAAAGAATCAAGTGTTCGTGCTAGAGAAGGACTCATTGAGGAAATGTTCCGGCTCTGGTCGCGGAATGAGGCAACTCGCTTCGGCCAACTGACCTCCGGACAGTTCAGCGATCCCATTGAATTGTTGAAAATAATTTAAACGACGATTGTAATTGTTGTCACTCCCGTTTCATTTTGGCATTCCTTCGTTTCATGATTCTATCCCCGCCGTTTCTTCGGGACCGGTGTAACTTTTGTCCCGCAGCGAGTTGGCTGGCGATGTGTTAGCAGTGGCCAGTTGGGCCATGGTGAGTCATCCAAGACCTCTCTGGTCTTGCCAGGGTCCAATATCTGAAGAGATTGTAAAAAGATTACGGTCCAGTAAAACGTCATTATCCTTTGGTCCAACATTGACCTGAACAGGGTTTGTGGCTCTCTTCCATTCTGTGCAGTGGAGATGGTCAGCCTGGCATAACGTCCACTGGAAAACGAGGTCATCTTCACAAAACCACATCATCAGTTTTAGAGGGGAGGGGAGTTTGCGGAGTGGAGGAGAAGAAGAAGGGGAGAAGGAAGTGAAGGGGAGGAGGAGAAGAGGGAGGAGAGGAGAGGAGCAGAGGAAGGAGGAGAACTGTGGGGTCCTTGGTTCTCTTTGACACTTGGTTATTTTCTTGCAGACGTTTCATTACCCAGCTAGGTAACATCATCAGTTTTAGGAGGGAGGGGGGTTTGCAGAGAGTAGGAGAAGAAGGGGAGAAGGAGATGGAGGAAGAGAAGAAGAGAGGAGGAGGGGAGGGGCAGAGGGAGGAGGAGGAAGACTGCGGGGTCTTCAGGGCTCTCTAAGCTTGGTTTCCTTGAAGTCATTTCATGACCCAACTAGGTAACATCATCAATGCTAGAGTAGGGAGGAGGACTGTGGGGTCTCTGAACTTGGTGATTTTTTTGCAGACCTTTCATTACCCAACTAGGTAACGTCATCAGTTTTAGAAGGGTCTGAAGTTTGCAGAGTGGAGGAGAAGGAGGTGAAGAGGAGCAGCACCGGGTGGGACCTCGGTACTCTCTGTGCTAAACGAATGGTTATAAATTGAGGACTACTGTACATACAAAGTCAGATTGATTACACCTTGTTTATATGACAGCTTTGTACATTTTTTTAAAAAAATCTCGGGGCCTAATTTTCAGTTTGCCTCTATCTCGCTCAATTACTCTTGAAGGACGGAGGTTCACGGACCCTTTCCCGTTCCAAAGTTTTACAAGATGAGAGCCAGTCGGGCACCAACAGTAGAGGGCAGGGGTGTTAAACTCAAGGCCTACGGGCCGAATCCAGCCTGCAGGGTGGCCTATGGGGCCACGCCGGATGCAGCGAAGGACCAGCTTGCGGTGCCTCTTCCACTGAAAACGGAGCTAGGGGGCCATGCCCACCCCCCAAATCTCTATTTTTACTGGCAAAGGGCAAGCAAAACAAACTGAACACAAAACCAAAGGAGAAATGTTTCCCTTTTTGCATTTGAGCATGCAAGAAGGGACAGGAAAGGAGAAAGGGAAAGAGGAAAGACAAAGAAAAAGGGGAGATGGGAAGAGAGCAAGTACAGGTAGCTCTCATCTTAAAACAGTTTCTTTAGTGACCATTCAAAGTTACTACGGCACTGAAAAACAGTGAGTTAAGACGTGTTCACATTTACGACCATCGCAGCATCCGCATGGTCACCAGATCAAAATTTGGACGCTTGGCAACTGCCTCATATTTATGATGGTCGCAGTTTCCCGGGGTCACATGATCCCCTTTTGCGACATTCAGGCAAGCGAAGTCAACGGGGGGAAACCAGATTCACTTAACAACCGTGTTACTAACTTAACCCCTGCTGTGATTCACTGTGACAGGAAAGATAGCAAAATGGGGCAAAACCGACTTCACAGAGGTCTTGTTTAGCAACAGAAAATTGGCGCTCAGTGGTGGTCGTACGTCGGGGACCCCCTGTGGTCCTCACTTAATGACCATTCATTCAGCGTCTGTTCCAAGTTGCGACGGTGCTGAATGCAGGGCAGTTACAGCCAGTCCTCAAAGTTACGGCTGTTTGAGGAAAAAAAAACCCAGTCACGTGTTCATAATTCAGGCTCTTTGCAGCCCACCAGCATTTATGACCAAATTTTGTAAGGTCATCCAGAATCTTTTGGGGCTGATGAGGTGATTTAGAAATGTTGGTCTCACACACGCATGTACATACAGTACATAATGTTATAAAGCAGTGGTTTTCTTCTTTTTTTTTTGAAAAAAGTTTTTTAGTTTTATTTTTCATCAACATGTTTAAATGTACAGTCTTTTATCCATCCTTATACATTGTTTGCTCATCTTCTTCTTTAACTCCCATTAGGCCATTAATTAATTATTTGTTCGGGTCTGCTCTTTTACCATTTTTTTCTTTTGTTTTACTACAACCTTTCCTTTTTCCCCTTCCCTTCTTTCTCCTCCTTTCCTACTTCCTTTCCTCTTTCCCCTTCTCCTCTCTTCTTCCTCCCCTTCTTACCCTCTCTCCTGCTCTTCTTTCCCCTTCCTTCTTCCTCTCCTTTTCCCATTCTTCTTTTCTCCTCACCTCCCAACTTCCCTACTTTTCCCTCTCTACTCCTCCCCCCTTTTCCATTCCTTTGTTCTTTCCTTTTTTGATTCAATCTGAAATGGTATTCGAGCAGACCTAATTTCTATTTACATACGTCTCCATTTCCAATTTCATTTTTTACTTTACTATTATTCCTCTAGTATTCCTGTACGTTTTTTAATCAATCCATGTATCATCTGGGTATAACATTTGTGCTATCATCTTCAAAGCAGTGGTTTTTCAAGGTTGGAAGATCAGCGTTCTAAATCTTGATGGGAGCCAGTGGAATTGACATGCGATTAAAAAAGATAAACAGATTTACAGAATTGGAAGAGACCTTAAAGGGTCATCTAGTCCAACCCCCTGCCCCAGCAGGGGACCCTACACCATTTCCAACAAATGGCAGTCCAGTCTCTTCATGTCTCCTCTAGTCCTTCTCTTCACTAGACTGGCCAGGCCCAATTCCTGCACCCATTCTTCGTATGTTTTAGCCTCCAGTCCCCTCATCATCCTGGTTGCTCTTCTCTGCACTTTTTCTAGAGTCTCCACATCTTTTTTATAGTGTGGTGACCAAAACTGGATGCAGGATTCTAGGTGTGGTCTTACTAGGGCTTTATAGGGTGGTATTAGTACCTCCCTTGATCTTGATTGAATCCCTCTGTTAATGCATTTTAGGATTGCATTGGCTTTTTTTGGCTGCCGCTGCACACAGTTAGCTCCTATTTAACTGGTTGTCCACTAAGACTCCAAGATCCCTCTCACAGTCACTGCTATTAAGCCTGGTTTCACCCAGTGGACTTTTGGTTTTTCTTGCCAGTGTCAGAGGTGGTATTCAGCCAGTTCACACCAGTTCGGGCGAACTGATAGCGGCGAATAGTTAATGCCACAAATTCATTGCATATTTTATACATACAAAGGAAGAAAAAGACCATTTTTTTCAGGTAATCACTCAATGTCAAATTCTGTGTTCCAGATTCCAGAGAAGCTCAGTGATGTAGCTCCCAAAAAAAATTCCAAGAGGTTCTGGTAGCTGTTGAGCTAAGGACTTCAGCAGGGCCATAAAAGGAAAATTATTTACGAAGCACATTGGTGCTCTCGTTTACTCCAAATTAGGTTTTTTTTCTGATGCTGGATTTCTATTATATTCCGGGAAAATGTACAGCTTCAGAGCAGGCCAAATGACCAACGCAATTATCTCCGGCTGCAGGCTATTCTGCAGTTTTCCAGATGAGTGTTTTCCACCAGATCATAATTACGTATTAATCATGATGTTAGTCATTGTTATTGTATTGCCGCAGGTAATTTAATCCGTGCTTCAATAGGCTTTGTAGAAATAGGCAATTGGAAAAATGTGGCTGTTTCCTGCAAATGTTTTGTGCTCAGGCTAGGGAAGAGTCCAATCCCCCCCCCCCCACACACACTCAAGCAGGAGACCCTATACCCGTGATGGCGAACCTATGGCACGCATGCTCAAAGTGGCATGAGAAGCCATGTCGCCCGGTACATGTGGCCTTGCCTGTTTGTCTTCTGGGTTTCTGGCACACATGCGCACGTGACGATCAGCTATCCTTCGTGCGCGCGGCAGTGTTGAAAACTGGCCTGCGCATGTGCGCCAGCCAGCTGATCATTGGGCGCACATGTGTGCTTGAACCCGGAAATTCAGCTTTTCTGGAGCGCGGCCCTGACAAGCGTGTGCGCCTTTCCATGCGACCCTTTCGGCACGTGGTGCCGAAAAGGTTCACCATCACTGCCCGATACCATTTTAGAAAAAAGGCTGACCAGTCTCCTCTTAAAAACCTGAAGTGGGACCGGAAGTTGGCAAACGGGCCATTTTCGGTCTCCAGAGAGCCTTCAAGGGGATGGGGAAGGCTGTTTTCACCCTCCCCAGACTCCTAGAGAGGCTCTGTAGCCTGGGGACAGCAAAAAACGGGCCTTCCGGTCCTACCGGAAGTTGCAAATGGGCTGTTTCTGGCCTCCGGAGGGCCTCTGGGGGGGTGGGGAAAGCTGTTTTCGCCCTCCCCAGACTCCTAGAAAGGCTCTGGGGCCTGGTGAGAGAGAAAAACGGGCCTACCAGGCCATCACGTGCCAGGAGTGGGGGGAGCGGGGGTAGTCATGCGCGCATGCGTGGGGATGGGGCACATAGAATTATTATATTTATATATTATATTAATATTATTATATATTATTATAGATTTATATATTATTATAGATTTATTATGTACCACCAAGTCATTTTCAAGTTGTGGCAACCACATAGGGATAGTCGTCCATGACTTACGACCACAATTGAGCCCAACATTTCTGTTGTTAAGTGAATTTTGCTCCATTTTGCCACCTTTCTTGCCACAGTGATTAAGTGAACTACTGCAGTTGTTAAGTTAGTAAAGCGGCTGTTAAACGAATCTGCCTTCCCCATTGACTTTGCTCGTCAGACGGTCGCAAAAAGGGACCCCATGACCCCGGGGACACTGTGACCGTCATAAATACGAGTCAGTTGCAAGCGACTGAGTTTTGATCACTTGACCATGGGGATGCTGCAACGGTCCCAAGATGCCTGTGGCAAGAAAGATCGTAAAACG